GACCAAGGCGCGGGCTCCTTATCTTTCCCCTACAGCTCTTTAGAGACACCCCGTGAAATCCAGTCTGCAATGGACATGACCGTGACCATGGGGTTGACGCCGCTCGCGCTTGGGAACACGCTAGAGTCTGCAACATACAGGTTCTTCTTTCCCCAGACGCTTCCCCTCTCATCAACCACGCCTGACTCGTTGCTGGCGCTCATTCGGCACGTTCCCATCTGGTGCGCCGACCCGAAGGCAGACACGGGCGGCTTGTTGCCCAGAGTGCGCAAGTGCTGTAACCATTTGCCAAAAGCAGCATCTGTGAACTCGGGATCTTTGTCTTGGACGTGCTTTGCTTGCTCGGAGGCGTTGGGTATAAACGGCGGCAGGCCGTAAATGTGCGCTCGGATCTCTGTCGCACCACCGACGTAGGCAATCTTGGCGAGGCCAATGACTCCCTCTAGATTGTTCTCGCGGTCGAAATCAGATGGTGAGTACTCAATTCGCGGCTCACCCGTCTCGGGGTCGACGAATACTCGGCCAGAGTCTCGATCACGGGCCAGTGAGATGAAGTTGTTTATGTGCCGGTATCTCATGGTGAAGAGCTTGGTATCAAGGCCGCTGCTCCAGCTTTGTAGTGAAAACGCCATGTATGGCTGGCTTGCAGTTAGCGAAATCCAATCTTGGAACGAGTATCGTAGCAGCAATTTTTGCTGGGCCCCCCCTATTTGATGATACTCACCATCATGCATAACGGCTCCAGCTTGACACCGTGCCCCTTGCCATCGAGGTTTTCAAACTCACCACTCCAGCTTGTGATGATGCCACCTTCCCATGGCCGAATCTCTTGTCGATTCACAGCCATCAAGAAGTTGACGGGATGGAGGTGAAGATTACGTCCAAGCTGCGGATTCTACAAGAATAAGAGGTGTATTTGTGTCAGCGAAGAACCAGCCATGTTGACCATTCAAGTAGGCACAGACTCACCTCAACACCGCTCTTCATCAGGATGACGGGGCTCCAGAAAGTCCCAGCGGACAAGATGACTTTCTTTGCCTTGATGACAACCTTTCTCTGCGTACGATCTCCGATACCCTTGTGAAGGCCACCTTGCTCGTCCCTACTTAGCCACGAGCCTTGGACTCCTATTGCCGTCACTCCATCCTCATCAAAGAGCACCTTTTCGACAGTGAAGCCCTCCATGAAATCGGCACCAGCTTCGGCTGCAGCGGGCAGCCAGGCCTGTGCCGGCCCCATTTTCTCTCCCAGGCCACAGCCCAAATGGCAATGGCCGCAGTAGTGCTCCTTGTTGGCGGTGTTCTGGGGAGCGACGCCTGCGTGCCAGCCCAGCTTCTTACATCCGTCCAGCAGCTTGTTGTTGCTGAAGTTGTGGCGGATGGCCTCGGACCCGGCGCCAATAAAGTCCCACACGCGGTCCATGCACTCGTCGAATTCGGCCGACGCGAAGAGCGGGAGACCCTCATCGGCCCATTCCTTGCGGACGTAGTCCTGGAGCTTGAAGCACACGCTCCAGTTGACTGAGCCGCCGCCACCCCAGCAGCTGCCCGATGTCATGGAGATGCTCGTGTCCTCGCTCACATAGGCGCCGCTATGGTCGAACAGATACTCGAGCCCGGCGCTCTGTGGCATGGGCAGGTAAGTAGGGTGGAAGTGGTATCCCTTGTCGACGACGAGGACCTCGTGCCCTGCCTCGGCGAGATTCTTGGCGCAGACGCCACCCCCGGGGCCTGAACCGACAATGACGACGTCGGTGGTGATTTCGTGCACGTCGTCCTCTTTACCGGCAGCAGCGGGGGGTACCTGAAGGAACACATAGTCGTACCCTTCCGCGGGCTTCCAGTCTTTGGGGACGTCGGGGTATCCCGAGATTTTATGGAGGTACGGGTTGGTGGTGCTGTTTGCCTTTCCGGCCAGGGCGACCATGGACTTTGCGAGAGCGCGGAATGTGGAAAGGCGAGAGGTGGTCCATGATTTGATGATGGCTTCGCGGGCGTTTGTGGGCTGTTGGGTGATGGGGCTCCAGTAGCCTGTTAAGAGCAGGCTTCCGGCGTGTGTTCTTTATTTTTGGAATAGTCAGTTTTCATCTCTCCTGAAAAGGGCTGTATATAATGAAGAGAAACCAACACTCACCCTAGTGTTCCTAGGACTCCCGCAAGCTTGGCCCTCGCCGGCGATATGCCTAAGCCCCGTATACAGTCCTGGCGGAACGCGGGATGCTCAGACGGCCGGAAAGCGAGAAACTCTGCAATCTCGTCTCGGCTTGGAGCACCGTCCAGCGAGCTGCGGACCTTGTCTATGAGGCCGTTGAATTCGTCGTCGGGAATGGCAATCTGCGTGTCCTTGTCCGTGACGGCAGATGCAGGCGCGATGGACGGCAAGACGCCGTCGAGGATGGCCCAGAGCGTCTCCCATTGATCGGCGGTCATGAAGTCGGTGGGTGGTGGCGGAGGGAGCGTGACTGGCACGGGTGCCGTGAGTGGTTCCGCCATGGTCGTTGTGGTGAATGATTATAATTGGCTATCTTCAGTAAAGAAGTTGAAGAGCTCTGCGCTGTAAGTGAAGATGTTCTGCCTGCCATGTTGTTAGTATTTATATGCCTTTTTCAGATGCGATTGAATGGATGAAAGTGGTCCGTGATGGACTCCGAGAGTCGTACATGCAAATTGATAGCAAACAATGCGCCGATGGCTTTGTACACTCGCGTCACACCAGTTAATGAGCGAAAGACAAAATCGATAGAAAGGATTTTCAATAATTTTTTCCTCTGGTGTGGTAACACGGCAGTGTCAATTGAGAGAGTTTCGGAACCTTTTTTGTATTTTCCAACAAAGCAGCTCTCTCTCTCTCTTAACTCACGCGCACGCACGCATGTAGTTGGTAGTTGGCACGGGCAAATAGAGCTTTACGTCTCCACTGCATAAACAAGCTTATCGAGATCGAAAAGCTTATGTGGTGTAATCACAAAAGGGGGTGAGATTCGTTGCGCGATAGTGTGGGCACTCTCTAGAAAATTGATTTGAGATGAGTAAAAGACAATGGTTTTAAGAAGCACAGTCAGAACTTTGGAGCTGAAAAACGCGCCATTGCCGATGAAGCGGGGGGGAGAAGGAAGGGCAATTGGCGGCAACGGACGGCTATTTAATAGTAGCGGTATTTCCAATATACCTACGCGAGGTAAACAGACGACGAAATAGGCCATGACTAGGTTGTCCGGGGCTTTCTTAGCTGCTCTCGATTTCGGATATGGGGTCCTTGCGAGTGCGGGGAGAGCCGAGTTGGAGTCGGATGTGGCTGGCATGTAATGCCTACAACGGCAGGGTGCGTGACAAGGCTCTTGATCACTGAGATATATCTGTACATGCCACAATATCTACTTTTATCAGAAAGAGGGAAATGCCGTTTTCCGTGTATTATCCCATCTCACAGATGGTTTCAGTTATCAAGGGCAATGAGGTCAAGGAGGCTCAGTTACTGTATTTGGATAAACCCAAGATCACCCCACATTCGAAATACCACTTAATAGATCCAATCCCGATGGCTAAGTAGTACATCACTGCTATTATTGATACTTAATTCCATTGGTAGTCCATTCCTTTTTCTAGAGATACCTGCTTATCTCCTAGACAGGCAGCCAAGCTGCTGGCTGCAACGAGCCTTTCCCCTCTCAAGCTACACACACACACACACACTTACACGGCCCATCCACCAAGATGCCTCGGCCCCCCTCTCTTTTCCCTCTCTTTCTCTTTCAGGAGAAAACAACAGATACATGTGACGAATACTAGTCATGCATCACTAAATTAGTCGATTTATCCCGTTCCGGAGATCTTTCTTTCTCGCACTCCGCGGATTTTCGATCCAGGTGAAAAACAGGGGAAAGGATGCGTGGATACGTAAGTACGTAGTTAGTTGTCCCGAGACACCGCTTCTACTCCACTCGATCCTACCCCCATTTTCAGCCAAGAACGAAACATGCATAGAGGTCATGAATAGTTACCAATGTATTAAACTCAACCCATAGAAGAAAAAAGAGAAAATGATAATGAGGGAAATAAATGAATAGAGGTGGCTGGCCTGGAACCCGAAATGCGAGACGATAAGGACAAGATGTAACAAAACTTGCCTCCCAAATCAAAAGTTAAATTGGCTGCATACGAGTCGGCATCTTTGTATGCATACATCTCTAGCAAACGGAGGTTGTGGTAAGCTTCGTAATTTGTAGTAGAAAATATACTGTCTTGAATTGGGTAATATGGTGTCTACAGGAGCGGAAATAGAAGCGCAAAAGCGTTTATGGGATTTTAATGCGAAATTGGACACCTGGGTGAAGAAACTTCTTACTGGTAATTGAAGCGTCAAGTGCAACTTGGGAAACCCCGAATGAAAGCCCATGTCAATGGCAATAGTGCTATTTGGTGGAGGGATCTTGACTCACACAGAATAGTTACGAAGGATATATGTAAACTCGCACGCCCTTGTTCTCTGCATGAAAACGGGTACCCGCTTCTCTTTAAACCGAGGGGAATCAAGTGCCGCGAAGTGACCAAGAAACCATATGTGTGTTGGACATTAGATGGAAATTCCCTGGCATTCGTCATTTTCGACTGCAAAATTCATCTTCTTGATTACAACAGCTAGCCAGAACGCATCTGCCATTATTCGTCGCCACTGTTCAAGCCTTACGCAAACCTTATGTAGCAGCGACTTAAAGGATGTCACTTGTTTTGCGACCACTGCGTCGATAATGCACAATTCGTAAGAGGCGGTACTGGAAGCTATAAACGCCCAATCGCACAAGCATAAACTTGCAAGCGAACAAGCAGAATCAGATCCAACAATCTATAACAAAATAGCCATTGTTACGTAGATAGTATAGCTATGAGGCAATAAAGGAGCACAGAAACTGCCAATGACTACATGTACTTTATTGAAGTTAGCCACAACAGCAATCGACATTTGTTCATGTAAGCATTCAAAGAAGAAGGTATTAGAAAAGGAATATAGGCAGTGATTTCTTATGGCCTGTCCCAAAACGTTTACACAACGTACCAACGTCTGGGTGATACTCAGTCTACACATACCATCATCAATCAAGTCGCCCCGCGCATCATCTGCACAAATTCATGGTAGTCAATCTTCCCATCCCCATCCAAGTCAGCTTCCCGTATCATCTCATCAACCTCATCATCAGTCAATCTCTCGCCAAGCTGCCGCAGACAATCATGTAGTTCCTCCGGGGAGATGAAGCCATCGTCGTTCATATCAAATACCCGAAAGGCTTCTCGCAGCTCCTGCTCAGAGTCCGGCAGCTGGTCTGGTTTTTCCATGCTTAAAAAGTCTTCAAAGTCCACGACGCCTCTGCCGGTCGTGTCCACTTCGTCAATCATCTGCTGAATCTCTGGGTCGCTCTTTGGTTGGTCCATGGTTCGAAAGAGGGCCGCCATGTCCTTGGAAGTGATGTATTCACCGTTCCTCGAGATGAGAGAAAACTTTTCCTTTGCATCAGCCATTTCCTCTTTGCTCAGGTGTTGTTGCGGCCGGCGGCTTCTGTCCGGTTTGGGATTTACTGGCCCGGGCTCGGGTTCTTGCTTTGGCTCGGGCCTTGGCTCTGGCTCGGGCTTGCGCCTCTCTAGAGGCCCAAGAGCCATCAGCTTGAGCTGCATCATGTCGGGTTCGGCTTCGGCTCCAAGACGCCCTTTGATCTTAGCACGCTTCATGCTACCAATCTTGGCCCAAAACTTCATACCACGTTTCTTCTCGCCAGCCTTGTACTCGGCAACTTTTCCATTGCGTATAGCCCCCTTGGCGTCTTGCGTGGCTTGAGCATTCTCAACTTCACCTTCTACTTCGGTCGTGGCCTGGGTTACTATAGCGGCTTTTTGTGCCTTTTTCTCTGCTCTCGAGGCTGTCCAGGACTTCCAGGGGTTCCATGACCTTTTCCCATCGCCCTTTGAGGAAGAAGGATCAGTAGGAATCTGAGAATCAGCTTCCAACGCATTCTCAATCCCATCAACCTCTCTCTTCAGCATCATTGTTCTCTCCGTCTCTTTTCGAACTTGGTCATCCGACTTCTCAAAGCCAGCATCGCTTTCCACTTGTAAGGCTTGTTCCCAGTGATACAACGCTCGGCGCCAGTAGTCCCGTTGGTCTTCTTCGTTTTTGACTGTCTCCGTCGCTTGTCCCGATGCCTGTCTCGCTGCCTTCTCCTCGACAATCTCGGAGAGAGCTCGGTGGATGTAGGCGGCGTTGGCAGGGCTCTCGCCAACCTCGAGATCGTTACTAAAGGCCTTGTAGAGAAGCCTTCTTGCCTCGGCAATGTTGGATGGCCGTGCTTTCATTTGCCGCCGAGCGAGGAGTATCGCCACAAAGACACCCTCGTCGCGTCCTAGGAGAGAGTTTCCCAAACCCAACATGCCATGACTGCCGCCATCGTCATCGTCGCCACTGTCCCCATCCCCGTCCCTCAGCGCTGCTGCCTTCCATGCCCCGGCGTCGTATCCGCTGATATCGAACCCTGTTCGTGCCAGATTCTTGTAGATTGTCTTGCGGGCATGCGCCTTGGCTGCCATCTGCTTGTCGCTAAAGTTCTGGATCGGACTCGAGGCGGCGTAGGAGGCCTCCATGATCTTCAGCAAGTCATCAAACATGAGTCGTATCTGAGAGTCTGCTCCAGGGACCTTGGTGCGATGGTGGTACGTCTCCTTCAGCCGCCTGAACCACTTTCGTGCGGCGTCTTCGTCCTGGCGCGTATTGTAGTCCACCAAGGCCAGGCAAAAGGCCATCTCCGCCAGCTCAGCCGACAGCGCGTGCTGCAAGCGCAAGAACTTGGCCTGAATCTCGGCCAACATTCGTGCGCCGACTCCGCGACTGCCTCTCGTACCACCCATGAGTCGCAGCAATGAGTCGGCGAGGTGAGGCGCTTCACAGATGTCATGCCCGTCTTGGTGCATGCTATCGGTGGCCGTCCGCCAAAAGCCCGCCATGAGCGGTCGTCGTCCAGCATCCCAGAACAGGCCCTTGTTGGTGATATGCGCCAAGTCTACAAGGACGGTGATTGTGAGGATGCTTGACCGCATGTCGAGGACCCGGTACGTCGCGCCCAGGAAGTCGAAAAACTCCCATCGCAGCGTCTCGCGTGGACTGTCCCACACCTTCTTCCAGTACGCGACCTGCTTCGGCCACGTCTTGATCCGGTAGCGAAAGAGCTTGGGCATCACATTATGCGCTGTTTCGCGTGCCAATTTGTATGCCTCATCGGTCTTGCGACTCTCTTCTCGTAAGAGGAGCGGGATCAGTGGGTGCAGCGTGATGTAGTCGCTTTCGGATTTGCCCTGCTTGTCGACGGCTTTCCCCACGACGACAAAGCCCTCGTCGATGAAAGGCTGTAGGATCGTCATTGCGATATCTCTGTTGGAGCCAGGAAGTTCTTGATTGTTCCTGAAGAGGAGCTCCAGCTCTTGGTCCCCAAACACTGCGCACCGATCAATCGACTTTCGCTTATCCTTTTGAGATTCAAAGTCAATATACGAGAGGTAGTCCTGAATTGTCTGGAGCTGGAAAGGGGCCCAGAAAGGGTACAACGCCTGAATCGCCATTGAAGATTGTTCGACAGAGTGAAGAAGACGCCGGACGTCGTCTATGGCTTGTGCCAAGTCTGGAAGTGCGGCTGAAACGCCATGATTCGTCTCCGACGAACCGCTGCCGAGACATATCCCGTCTCCACGTAACAGAGCCTGCATGAAACTGACAAGATTGTGGTTTTTGGGATTGAACGCGCCCAACAGCATCTTGAGAGCTAAGGGATTTCCCTGTACGAGCTTGCCCAGCTGTCCCCGGACAAGGAGGCCCTCCCAGTCCCTGGCATCTGGATGTCGGTTGGTCTTGTCGAGTATGTATCTAGTAAGCAGCAGGGCCCTGTCCTCATCCAGGGGGGCCAGCATGCGCACCGCTTTTTGAGCTTGCTGTGTATTTGGTATTGTTCCTGTGGACTCTGTCGCTGGTGGGTTTAAGACGGCAATCTCGGGCATGCGTCTCGTGGTGACTACTACAAAGCTCCTGTAGGGACTGGGGGCTGTTGGCTCTTGGGCTGAGTCCAGGTCTGACGCGGAGAGACTGACCTGGGCGTCCCGGAAGACAGCCAAGAAGTAGCCCATCAGTTCCAGGACAGGCTCGGATAGTTTGCGAGGGCCACAGGCTTCGACCCCGTCAAAGATGACAAGGAGTCTAGAGTCCCGCATTGAGAATTTGCTTTTGCGCGTCGTTTGGCGTTTCGCCTTGGCTGTCTTTGGGAGGTTTCCTCTCGCACCGCCTCTCCGCCTCGGTTCCGTTGGTGCTAGCACGTTCTTGATTTTTGTCCGGATACGTCGTCCTCTGGCCTTGGCATCTTCCAGCTGCGTGTCTAGCTCTGTCAAGTCCGTGCCAAACTCTTGGTTCAGAAATTCGATTAGACACTCAGGAGACTGCAAGTCTTCAAAGCCAACTCTAACGACTCTATCGATGAAAGCCGTCGACTTCCACCACTCGGCTGCACTATTGACCAAAGCTGACTTTCCGACGCCCGGAGGCCCCTCGATAGCTGTGACGCACGATTCTAGCATGAGATCTGTCTCAAGCATCAAGAGGTCTCCCTCCCTCCCTACTAGGTTTACGTCGATGTCGACTGACCTATCTGGAGGTAGCTCGGGTGGAATCCTCCTCAACATCTCGAGATTTAAAAGACTTAGTCCACCAGTGACACAACTGGCGTCGTCGTCTCGAATGTACACTGACGGCACGAGATAGTCATCGAGAGGGACCTCGGTCAAGTAGCTGGTCCTCTTAGTGCGCTTGTTCATGAGACATTGCCTCGCAGCCTGAACAGCGAGGAGAGGGGACTGGTTGAACCGCAGCAGCTGATCGTAGAGGCTGCAGACGAAGAGATTTGCGGTGACATCCAAGACCTTGTAGGCCATGGCAATGGCAATCTGGATGCCGTGCTGGATCAGAGCTTTGGCAAGATTGGCGGCGGGGCCTTCGCCTTCAACAGCGGACTGGCACGCATTGAGGATCACGGTGTGGATGCCGTGACTGCTTAGAAGCGAGGCGAGATCTTCTGCCGGGACCATGCGGGCGCCACGTTGGATCTCGTTGATGAATAAAGCATATGCCCTTTGTCAGTCAGCATTGGAACGGATGATAAGCAGGGATACCAGTACGAGAACATACTTGTGGTCCTCGACTTTGCCGTGTAAGTCGAGATGAACGACATCGTATCGCTGTTTTTTGTTTAGTTCTCGCTTCAACGCGTCCAGCGAGCCTGGCCGCACAATAGTGAGTGTTGTGCGGCGTTCAGCTGTTGATCCGCCGCAGGCGTCTACCTTTGTGTTTGCTGTGTCGACGACATCGTATATGGATTTGGTGATGAGTCTATGCGGCACGTCGTCCACAGAACGTGGACGCGCCGTCAGTGCGAGTATGTTGAAGGTCGATGCCGACTCAGGCCTGTCAGCCGAAACCACAGGAACTTGTCTCGCCGGGACTCCCAAGAGGCGCACGACAGAGACGCTCGCGGGCTTGGCCTCACCGGGCCATAGATGCACGTTCTGGAGAACCTCCCAGCGCAAAGCACCAATTTCAATGCAGTCATCTGGGAGGATTACAGCCTCTTCCACAACCTGGATGACGATGTGTAAAGTGTTGCGATCCGGGGCACCCAAATCTAAGCGGAGCGCCTCGATTAACAAGGCCGCATATCTTGCCAGGCTTGCGGAGACTTCCTGGGCCCTTGGCTCTTGGAACGGAAGATGAATCACAAACTCCTCCATGTACCATTTGATGGACTTGTTCATCTGGAGTAGCTCTTGCACAGCATCGGCCGTGATCTCGGACATTGTTCCAATGGAGCCATGCTGGACTTTCAGATGGCAGCTCCCGCTCGGTTTGTCCTTCAGCCTGTTAGCCTCTGCGATGCAGGATTATACAGTTATACTCGGGATGAAGTACTGCACCACTTGGCGTTTGAGCCACAGTGATCCGAAAGAGATCCATAGTCACTGCGTAGCGGCAATTCAATTACTTGTCAGGTGTGGCAAGGTCGGCTCATTCAACGGATGCTGAAGTCGGCGTGAACTTGGCCGTTGGGCAATCAAAGAGCGAGCCCAACTGCGCAGCCGTGGAAGAACGGGCACGAGTCACGCTGGAGATGAGTAGACGCTATTTACATCTTCGGCCATGCTGGAGATATAAGCACTTGCCCAGTTGCTGCTCTCGTCTTGATGTTCTGATGCAGCGCAATTCGTCCCCGCGATCTCGTTCGTGGCGCCTTGGTATTGGCTAAGCTCTGCAGCTGCGAAGAGGCTGGCAGACGAAAATGAACTGACACGTCAGTTTGCATCTTCTCGGTCGTATGTTGTTGTTGTTGTACTGGGGTAAATGCCGCAAATCCTGGTAAGAGCTGAAAATTATACTGAGGCGCCAACGCTTTGATTGGACATCGTTCAAAGGCCAGCGGTCTATCGCCAGCCAGTCGCTGTCATCTTGCTGGCAATCGCAATGTCCTCGCCTGGCCGAATCAATGACCGATAAATAACAACTTCATGTTGCCTTTGGTGCAGACAGAACACAGTGAGTGAATATCTAGTAGTACATCGCAAGGCTGCATTTCCACGGAACAGCTTCATACAATCATGAAGCGCTTCTACCTCCTTCACCACCTCGACTATGTCCAGATCCCCACAGGAGAAGACGAGCAGGTCTTCGTCAACAGCATCCTGGGGCGCGTCGTCCTGGACTATAGAGAGCCAGGCCGCAACTACGTGACCATCACGCGAACACCAGAGACCGCGGCAGTGCTGGCATCCAATAGCCACGCATTTGACCAATTGAGGGAGGCCGTGTCCAAGTCCAAGTCGCTGAAGCTGAAATTGACGGTCCAGAAGATTCTCGGTTTCGAGGAGGAGGCAACCAAAGCCGGGGATCGGCAGGTCAAAGCCGCGACGGTTACATATCACTTCTTTGTCTCCGACGACGCCATCGACCAGGTCCGCCGCGACGCCAGAGTCAAGGAAAAGCTGCAGACGTGGCTGGCGCGCGGCGGCTCACGCGTCTGGCTAATCACGGGCTTCATCATGGCACGCACGGCCGACACAAGCGACGGCGTCCAAGCCACTCACGCGTCCAAAGCCAGCGTCGATCCGGCTGCCGCACTCCAGGACGTCTCTGTCAACGTCGAAGCGTCCCGTGAGTCCAAACAAGGCCAGCACGGCGATGCCAAGCTCTCGAAGCTGTCCGTGGTCGCCGTGAGGTACATGTGCCTGCAACGACCCTATCTCTCGCGGGGGCCTGCAGTCACCACAAAGCTGAAATCGGGCCCGGCGGATTTCTCTGCTGAGAAGCCGGATCCAAAGAGCGACGACTGGGTGGCTGACGTGGTCGACGGATCCATCACCGACATCCTCAAGGACAGTGATGAGCTGGACCACGAGGATTTTGGGGACGTTTCATTTGCGTTTGATGCGGATGACGACGAAGATTATGATGAAGTCGATGAGGATGAGGATGAGGACGAGGACGAGACGTTTGACTGAGTATCAAGACAAGTTATGGCGCGAAGAGTCAAGATATAGTTCCTCTGCGGTTGCTTACGTATTACACACATACATAGTCCATTATCCCAATTCGTCTACTCCTCTGAGCCCTCCCTTTAAGAGAGGAAGCAAAACAACACATAACAGACTCTCCGCCATTTAAAGGGCAAGAAAACTTATGCAAGGCCGTTGCTACGTAAACAGTTATCCCAAAGATATCGTTGCAACTCCACATCGCCCCCCCTTCTTTACGCCAAGTACAAGCACACACACATCAAGGTCATAAATGCTATAAAGTGTAAACTAAACTCTACTCCAGAGAAAAGATGAGAAAAGGAACAATGGCGACCTGCCTGGTATTCGCAACGCGAGATGATGAAAACAAACAAGAAATAGAACAAAGTCTCCCTTCCTGACCAAAACTCAATTGGCATCCAAGGCATATCAATTCATCCATGCAAGACAGAAGACATGCAAATCGAGGCAACCACATCATCCTCCTTTTCACTCGAAAAAGACACGACAAGTCCTTTAGCACGTCGGAACAGTAAAAGAAATTAGCTTGAAATGCCCGCTTTATTTTGTTTTCGTCGGGGTAACTTGTATTCAACTCAAAGGCTATGCACCAAAAACAAGAGCTGCCTGTTGCACTTTGAGGCTTCCAAAAAACACAATGCAAGTGTCTTTTGCCCTCCTGGTTACCATGAGCTCACCCATTTACCCTCTCGAACCTTGCAGCCTTTCTCTAGTGTGTCCTATGCATCCTAGCCGTTTTAACGCCCTCTCCAGCTGTCTCATCCTCTCCTTCCTGTTCATACATGTCTTAATACACCATAGTAAACCCTGAGCCCTAAAGAAGAGAAAAGAAGAGAAAAGAAAAGAAGAAAGGAGGTGAAGAAAAGGAAAAGTTAATGAGAGTAGTGTAATAGTTTGACACAAGGAAAAAAAAAAAAAAGTCAAAGCCGCGACACCCAGTCCCAAGGGTATATACTCATCGCCGTTCCCCTTCCCGTCCAAGTATATATAAAATGTGTTAGGTATACAAGGTATATATGTATGTGTGTTCTATCCAGGTCCGAACCTGGATGAGAATGGTTGTGTTTTTTTTTTCTCTTGTTTCTCTCATTTTCTTTTTGCTTTTTCGAAACCCTTCCGTATTTTCCGGTAAATCCGTTCAAAAAGCGTCATAGCACGCAACGTGAAACTGACAAGATATGGCCGAATTGAAGGGTCCAACGCCGTGAAACCGAACGAATAGAATTTCCCGCGATCCGTGAGAAAGGCCGTGACCCAGCATAAAAAAAAGGCTGTTATTCGCACAAATCGCATTCGTAAATCATAGGGCCATAATCGTAGCCATGTCGCGGGTGTTTCATTTCGCGTAGCAATGGTACATACTGCTCCTTTGCCGCAAAGATTTTTGTTGTTTTACTGTCTTTTGTTTTCTTCTTTGAGATTTGCTTGCAGCTTGTTACAGTGATTGTACTGGTAGCTGGCATCTTCTCATCCTGACGTGTCCGCGGTGGGAAAGGGGGGGCTCGATCCTTTGCTCCTCTTAAAAAAGGGAAAGTCCTTCATCCTAAACCTGCTTGGTCTCTTTTTAAGCGCCTTGCCTTCGGCTCTACCAATACTACCTCCAAAAGGCGAATCTTCATCTGCTTGCGAGGTATCTCGATCCCGTTCCTGATCGCGGTCCCGGCGTGGTGATGTCGGAGTTCCCTTAAGACTAAGCGGCGACATGTTATACGCAGGAACGCCCAGGTTGCGGTCTCCGGCCTCGTTGCTAACTATGCTCGTGCCCTGCGTGCTCGGTGATAGCGTCATTTTGCCGGTAGCCGTGCTCGCGGCCTGCGAAGTCCAATCGGCATGATAGCCGGTAGATAAGCTACCCTCGGGGGTATCGCTTGTCCGGTGTTTTGGAGACACCATTCTGCTTTCTATTGGCTCGTCGGGTCGGTGGCAGGAGAATGGATCGCCTTCTGTCAAATCTCGAACGGCGTCAAAGGAGGAAGGGGGGCCAAAAGTCACGCCATTGACATCATGGTGTTCAATCGGGGTGTGAGGATCGTGACCAGATTTGGCCGTGGAAGGGCTCGGTGCAGGCGAAATCTCGATATTCTTCAGCTCGTTGTCGTTTTCAACAGTGGAGCTTCTTGTCCTCGTCCTCGTTTGCGAATCCTTGGCCTGTTCTTCTTGTACTTTGATTTCGAAGAATCTTTTGTTAGTATGGAGCTCGCCTATGGTGTATTCCATGCCTGGCATTATCTCAGCCACACCCTGGAACAACGGTATAGCAAACATATTCATGAATCCAAGCTGGGCGTTGGAGAGAGAAAGAATGTCCTTCTTCGGTGCTGCCATTAAAGATGACTTGATCTCGAGCTCATCTTCCATCGAAGCTTGCCGGGAAAACTCCTCTGAGAGCATATGCATCCATTTCAGCGCGGTCGAGTGACGACGTGCCTGTGACCAAATCAGCAAACGCTTAATAATAGAGATGGCTTTGGGTAGTTTTATTTTGAGCGGTTTCCCTTCTATTTGCATATTACTTACCACGTTGCTAATGTCTGCGCACTTGATAAGTAGCGCACACGCGAGAACCTTGGTATCTTCCAGTTGGCGACCGTTCCAGTTGTCAATGTTTCTGTCAGCCTCCAATTTCTCCTTGAGAGTGCCCAGCTTTTTCATGTAGTCAAAATGAACGCCCATGTCTGTCGCCAATATGGAACTAATCATCAGGCCACGCATCTTTCTGTCTTCAAACACCGCGGGCCAATATCTGCGAAGGATCTGCGAGTACGCAGCGCAGTGGAAGGACTCCAGGACGGATCGGTCATTGTAAAGCTGGGCCAACGGAGCATTCAATGTTGTGAGAAAACCGTTGTTTACTCCAGGGTGGCCGACATCGTGGCCAATGGCGGTAATGAGAAGAGTCAATGCTTCGTAGGGGCTGACCAGTGCCGCGATTGGCGACCTGATCACTTTTGGCGATGGTTGAGACCACGTCGGATAGGGAGGGAACGAGCCAATATGGACGAGGAAATTGAATGTCGCCTGAAGAACGTCCACCACGTGACGGAAATTATGATAGGGGACAAAGCTATTATATGCAGCCCGGCATGCGACAAGGAAGCTAATGAGTTGGTCTAAAATCATTGGTCAGATGGAAATTCCAGCGGCTGGACGGATGCAGGCACTTTCAAAGAGGGGTGGTTGCTTATGATCTTAGCACCGCCAGGGGGGTCTCCAACTACACACTCACCTGCTGGTATCCGCCACTTCTCAAGTTCCGGTGAGGTCAATGCGTGACGGAACATCTGCAGAGCTGCGACTAGCAGCTCATCATCGGAAAACTCATGGGCATCGAAATGCCAGCGGCCTACGGCCTCGGCGATGACAGCCTGGCGTTCGGAAGAAACGGCAATGTGCGCGTTGGCGATATGGTCGTCTTCAGAGGAGAGGCGGCAGATTCCCTTCATGAGTCCAGAGACCATTGCCTCTCGAAGATAGGCGTAGGGCTTCTGGTCATTGATGCCGACCCACGACCGCTTCCGTCCCTTTGTGATCTCCATCATGGCCTGCTGATCCCTAGCAGCATCCCTATGGGCCTTATAAGCGCATATTTCCAGCGTTGCGATACACTTGGGGCCCAGGGGGGCGACAATCACGTCAACCGCACCAAGGTCCAAGCATCTCCTCATGAGCTTGCGGCTAGCGGCCAGAGTGCCGGCAGCGGTCGACAAGAGCTCGGCTGTGCCGTCGGTCATTTGTTCGCGGGACTCTGGGTAGCTGATTACGGGAATGGGGACGACAAGCTTGGAGATGCTTCGTAGGTGGGCTTCGGTGATGAGCCTCTGGAGCAGCGCCAATCCGTACAAATTCTCGTCAGGCGTGTGAATCTCGGCGTCGCGGTTTATCAGGCTGGGATCGGAGGAAGAGGCGTTTTGTAAGGAGTATGATTCGGGTATCCATTCGTCGTGGGGTGTGTCTAGAAGAACAATGGCGGGTGTCATATCGATCATGGAGCCGGCTTCGTGGAGTTGCATAAGCTTAGCCATGCAGGCGGCGCCGGTGGAACAGACGTGAACTGTGCGTTGCGCATCACGAGTCAGCAGGGGGGGAGTGAAGGGACAACTCAGAGGAGCAAGAGGAACAAACCATCGCCAAAAGCGTCAAGGAGAGGCTGGACGAGTTCTCGAACGCGATCGTGCCGCCAATCGGGGGAACCGTCGGTCGGCGAGGCCGCGAGATCGTCGGATAGGGCGCGCAGCAGCCGGGCCTCCCCAACGCTGCGGTTGACATAGATGATATGGCAGGCAAGGCTGTCCATGGTGGGCAACGGGAGGCTACCAGTCTCGCGACTGGAGCACGTTGGCCACGCGGGCAAGGATTACTGCGCGCGCGCAAGGCTATGTGAAAGGGCGCACGAGGCGATGGCTCAATTGGATCGGCGAGCGTTTCAGGATTTTCGAAATTGGAGCAGCCAGCGCCAAGGATAGAGAGCGAAGCGAGTCGGGATCCAGGGTAAAAGGAAGCACGGGGAGCGTCGGAGCCGGAGCTCGAGGCAAAGAGAAGAAGAGAGTATACGCTGGAGCTGGAGTCGCCTCGAGCGCGCGCAGATTCGAAAGGGAGAGAGAAATTTCAAAAGGAAAGCGTGTGGTTGTGGGTTTAATTGGTGATGCGACAGGGCGGCCGGGACGACGATGGAGACGGGACACTTGCTTTCAAAAAAAGAAGCGCCTGAAAGCGTTTTGGAAAAAGAGGATAAGGAACGAGTCGAAGAGAGTCAATGCTGTCGGGAGCGACGCGGAGTGAGGAGCATCAGAGGGAGTTTCTGACGTCGGATCGTGGGTTGAAAAAAGGGAAGACGAAAAAGAAGACCTGGAAGAAGAGAGGGTGCTCCCTGCAGCACTCACGGCGGCGTGAGTATCTGGACAGGTTTTGGGACGAGGATCGAATGGTAGAGGAGAAAAGGAAAAAAAAATGGTGTTGTTGGTCCAGAGACGCAAGTCACAGCGCCGCAGGTCGCGGAACAAGCAGAGAAGAGTCGAAGGCGACTTCTGGAGTCGCACAGGAAGGGTGGCTCTTGTCGCGGGCGGGTCCCGAGGGGGAGCCTCTGGGTGCTCCAGGTGCTTTTCTGGGCCCTTTTCTGGGCCTGGCCGGACAGCAACAGCAGAAGCCCCGGATGGCTTCTGGGCTGGTCAGATGCTGCAGCCGGTGGCGGGATGTGGCTGCTGTGGTGCGTGCTGGTTGCGGCGCTGCAGCGCTGGACCTAGCGGACGCAGCAGTGGAGCGCAGCGAGCGTCTAGCGGCGCTTCTAGTTCGTTTCTCGCCCTGCAAGGCCGTGCTTGGGGCCTAGCCCGGAAAGATTATGGCAGGGTGGGCGCAAGATCCAGGCTTGGGCTGCTAGTGAGTCGCTGCTGGAGGGGCAAGACGTCAGCCGTCTGGAGCGTCAGGATCGGCGGCGTTATCGCGAGAGGAGAGGGAGCAAGAACTGGTAAGCGAGAGAGATGGCGAGCCAGACGAGAGCAGGCAGATGGCGAGGCGATTAGACAAGAGACGAGAGGCGCCAACGCGACACAGGCAAGGGGAGAGCCGATGGCTTCTCGTTTCTTCCTTTCCTCTTCCTTCTTGTTTCTTCACACGAGCAGAGCGGGGGCTGGCGCAGCGGGCAGGGCGCTGACAAAAAGTCAAAAGACGGCAGCAAAGGTAAAAACAGCAAAGATGCCCTGGAGATGGGAGAAATTGAGTTGTTCAGGGCAGCCGTAATCCGGGACAGGCAAGGTAGGACTCGTGTATCCTGTAGCTTGTATCTAAGTGGCAGGAAGGGTTCAAGGGCAGCGAATCCTGCGGCTCGACGACGCCATGGCCGGCCGGCAAAGTGGTCACTGTGAAGCTGTAATCAGGGCAACGCCCGTGGGAGGGGAGACTGGACGAGGCAGAGGCCGGAGGGAGAGCTTCGATATAAGGTGCCAGGCGGGAGGGAGGAGTTGCATCTGCTGCTGCGGACACATACAGTGCCCCGTCCTCGACTTCCTGGTCGCAGATACCGCAGCAGATTCCCTGCATTGCACGCTGCAGACAGGTACACAGTCCGGTGCCCTGGGGCGTCCTCACGGAGCACTAGCACCGTACAATCACACGTGCGGCATGCCAGTTGACATCTGCTAGGACTACTACTAAGAGCGGCAAGTATTTGATCAAATGTCATGTACATGTACCCACGGCGTGCCCTCTGCTGGCTGCTCCATCCTGCGACATTGGATCAGTCAATGTCGTGGAGGCAGTCGAGGTCAAAGCACGGGGCACAGGTAGAAGGTGTCGCAGATAAGCGGCAGCACAGCAGAGCAGGCACTCGGACAGTGCAGCCCGCCTGAACCCAACAGACGGACGCGCCACAGCGCCAATTGGGCCACTGGAGCATGCCGTGCTCATCGCCAGTTCCCCAACATCATCAGCATCGGCATCAGCATCATCCCTACTTTGTACAGCACAAACACTGGATCGATGCCAGCTGTGCCAGGAGCGTGCGTGCGTGCGTGCGTGCTGTACATGTACGCTGGATGCTGTACACGTAGGTGGCCGACCAGGGTAGCTCGCTGCACGCAGCACAGCTCTGGGCCATTAGCTGTCCGTGTTCAGGTATGAGCGCTAGCACGATGCAAAGCGCGCATCCGCGAGCGCTGACTGGTGGGCGCCGTGCCTGTGCGGAGGCCCTGGAGGAGGGTGGGTGCAACGCCTGCAGGTGCAGCGTGTGCCAGGCGCTGCCACGGACCACTAATGTACGCGCACCGATTGACTCACGCCATGGAACACTGGAAGAAGTCTTCCTCGAAGGAAAAGAAGGCTGCAACGAAGGCTTCCAAAGCTTGCAGTGAGGGGTTGGCTGCGCCAGTCCGGTCCACCCGGCGACGGCCAACCACAGCAGCGCAGGTCAAGACAATGGCGAGATGGTACGCGCTGTAAAAGCATGATATCAATTGCTGGTAAAAATTCACTGAGAACACAGCGGTTCTCAGGAGCGAGGTTCGCTATGAATTACTGTACCAGCAATTAAAACCGAAATCCAAAAAAAGAAACCGCCCTCACATGGATTCCAGGCCAGAGCAGCGATTTGCGCTCGCACTGTGCCGCCCCATGCACCGCACAGCAAGTACGTACCTGCTAGTGACATGAATTCTCCGGATGCCGTCGCGTCCCTCGCCAGGCCCTTGTCTTGATGTTGTCTAATGATATTTGATGTACAGCTCTATATTGTACTGATTGATTCCTTTTTGCTGTCGACGGGCTGTGCCTCTGCAGCTGCTGCCACGCATGATGCAGGAGAATGCCTGCCAATAACTGTCAGATTATTGCTGTTGGTAGTAGTATTGAAAACTGGGCCCATGGTTCGCCGGGCAGCAGTAACCCATCGCATCATCGAAGATGCAAGCATGAGGTACCTACCGCCTAAGGAAAGTACATCTATACGCTGCATGCACATGTATGTGAGCGGCTATTCTGTCTTTACTACACAAGATTTATTACAATCCTACACACTCCATAGGCACCTGCCGGGTGGCAAGACGAGTTCGACTATCGCTTCTTGATCGCTCCATAGCTCCCGCGTTTCGTGCTAAACAGATCTCGGCCGGCCCGACGATGGCATTATCCATGTGGAAAAGGGAAAAAAGAAAGCCAGCTACTGACACGTACGTACTCGTGTCGGCCAAGACGCGCTTTGCTCGTGTGTGTCTCTCTACTGGATTACAGCTGCAAAGCTCAGGCCCTCTCCGGCTTACAGACAAGACGACACGATGCCGTTTCGGCGCCCAAGCAACGCCCTCGAATCCCTCGTCCCGGGCTCCAACGACCCAGCCTGCAGGGCCCGCTCTCTATTCGTCTCGGCTGGGGAATGCCAGGGGGTGGACACGGCTGTTTGCTCTTTTATGGCAACAACCAGGGCAAACTTTGAGAGCTGTGGATCCTGCATTCTTTCAGCTCGCAGGGTGGCGCCTGGGACAAGGTTTGGACGAAAAAGACTCAAAAAGCAAATAAAATGAACATCAGGATCATGGCATGCAAGCGGACAGGTGTGTTCCAGAGGGCGCTTACCACCGAGAGAAGAGGACGGAATAGGAGCAAGAGGGGCCACAGGAGCCCGAGGATCGAAAATTACGTGCGTCAAAAAGGCGCACTACCGTGGCATTCTGTTTGACTCGCGGCCAGAGGAATCAACATAGTGCTACAGTACTGGTGCCTAGTGCGAGAAGCAAATCGGAAGGCGATCGAACGATGTACGATGAAGCCCGAGCCAACGGACTTCTCCGTTTGCTATCTATGGAGTCAGCTACCTACAGTACGCGCTCCATTCGACTGTTAGGCATTTCCAGCCTCAGCTTTTCACCTTGAGCCGAATCGTGGAGACGAAACGAAACGCGCAAGCCCTCGTACTGGACCCTCGGCGAGCTCGGTCTCGCTTATTATATTGCTCGCGAAGTTTGTCTGCCTCTACAGGTACTATACTGTGCTGTTGGGTCCGTCAAACAACTCTGGGGACCAAGAAAAGAGTGAGAGGCACTGCATGTAGAGAATAGGAGCTTCGCGTGTTCCCCCCGCCCTTGACCCCGAACTCGACAGGGGGAGCTTGCTAGCTAGTTGATGCCAGCACTTTTATACGAGTGCCTGACAGGCGCAAGGACATCGGATGGTGATCCCCCATGAACATCGTCATTCTCGCACTGCCGGTCTTGTCCACGTTGCTGGCTAGGATGAGGCTGACCCAGCAGGAACTGGAAAGGGGGACGCTGAATGTCTACTGTAGTACTACTGGCATTGCGTGCAAGATTCAGGCCGACGCGTGCTCGGGATGCCGAGGCTGATGCTGATGCTGATGTTGCTGATGCCGCCGCACTGTCCAGCTACCGTCCCTAGGTCCCGGGCCAGCGAACACTGATGTCTCCCTTTTTTTTTTCCCTTGTGCCCTAGAATCCCACAGAAGCTACGTCAGAAGTATGTGTCTCGGTCTGCCCCAGTGGCGCGCTACACGGACTCAGATCGAAGAGCCGGCACGCCACCGAAAAAGGGCGAGCAACAGTCTCCAAGTTCTCGGCAAGTGGCCGTCTCCCGCCATCTCGCTGCCGCCGCCAGCCTCGCCTCACCTCGACGTTGGACGCAGATTCGCGGGTGGCCACAGCCCTACTAGTTCGATTTGCACATGCCTGGCCCGAATTTGTTGTCTTTTTTGCGTGTTTGCCCGTGGTTGGGCGGCAGCACTGCACGGTGATACCCAACACGGCTGCATGCTTCGATTGCACATTGGATCGTACCCAATAGAACCGCCAGCCCAGTCCATTTCTGCCCAGCCCAGCCCAGCCCAGCCCGGAGCGTGCCGAAGAGCGAACAGACAAAAGGAGGCAATAAGATCAATGATACGTACAACCCAATATCGGCCCGCTTTTCACCTGTTAGTTTGAGAGTCTTGTGTCTTTTTTCTTTCCTTTTCTCCTTGTTCGGCCAGTTTTGCTCACGCCTTCTCGCTCTTTCTGTCTGCTAGCAGCATGCTAGATCCTCGTTGGGGCTTCTAGCAGGCTTCTAGAAGTTTTTTTTTAGCCTCATCTGGGATTCGCAGCTGGTCCGAGCGTTTGCGCTTTCATCTAAAGCCCCGACCGCGCCATTCCGGCTTACAGAGCTAACGCGAATGCTGGGCTGGACGTATTGCTCTAAGCGGAATGAGGCCAAGGACGAACCCTTATCCTTGGTCCAATCCGCCGCACTGGGCCCCCGCTTTCTGACTCTCGCTGTTGATGCATGTATCCGTACAGGCACTGTAATACTGTGGTTTAGTGCTCTGCTCTGTACTGCGCTGTGTCCTATCCGTGCCTGTTTGCGGCTTACCACCCTGAATCCCGGCAGCTCGGAAAAGGTTTCTCTCCTCCGGGCTGTCTCTTGCCTCGTGTCATGCAGTTGAATGCTTATTTTATCAATAACCCCCTTCGTATTATCGCTAGCAGTCTTGTGTATTCCTGCTCCCATGCATTAGCACAAATCTAAATCCTCAGCCTCTCCGCAGCGCAGAGGCCGTGTCCCGATTCGCTGCGCAGTCGCGGGACTACGGAGAAGCCCGATCCCATCGAACGAGTCGGAGATTGCCCCAGTTATAATGGCCTCCAGCACACGGAGAACCGCCTGGGCAATTCTTCCACGGCCCTGTTTTCTGAGCCCAGCATCAAGGCAATAAGGCCCCATAGCAGCAACCTCTTATATCCATCCCGCTAATCACCATCCGGGTCCCCTCTGATGTGGCAGGGCTAGCTTCCCTGCTTTTTTATGTTTGCGTTGCATCGCAGCCCGCATCGCGCATCCCACATCACAATCGCCCTGCATTGCTCGGTTCCCAATGCTCCATAGCTACCATACTTGCAGTACACCAATACAGTCCAATCGCGTTGTGCGAATTTATCAGCGGTACACGGAATATGTCTGTAAGTGCCAGACAATGATTAGAAATACCAAAGTCGCTATTGTTGTGGCTACTTGTCACTAAATAGCAACCGACGAATGAACAAACACCTCCCAAAGCCTAAAATACCTAATAATTGGCCAAATAGTAGTGCTACTACCTTATCAGGGTTCCAATAATCCTGTAACAGTCTAGTCCCTCAGCTTGAGACGCAGCCATTGCGAAAAAAGGGCGCTCGCTTATCAGCTTGATGTTTAGCACCAAATATTCAATCAATTAATCGCCTCGGCATTAACTCGATGCTTTACATTCAATCTCGAATCTCTCTAATCTACACGTTCCCCCCCCCCCCCTTCCCCTCCTTTCCTCTCTCTCTCGTTTTTCAACATTTCTCTATTTAGAATATAGCCCGCTGCCCGCTTTTTCAAAAAGCTCGGCAATACTACAGTACATGTATACATTTTAATCAACTTGCAAGGGCTTCTCCGGATTGCAAACTTGGTTCAAGCATTTTACCCCGTACGGCGCTACAAAAGTTGCTAATTTACGACCCAACTCCCCTTTTTTTCTTCTCCCCTCTCCCTTGCCCGCACTGGACTGGCTGCTGGACCCGGCCTTGTTGTTAATCCAAGCTGCCGATCTTTCTGTTTTTTTCAGCCCAGTAAGAAAAAAAAGCCGATCATACTCCGAGCGAAAGTTTACGTGTGTGCGCGCCACTACACAGAATAGAGAACAAGACTTACACACACCCAATTAAACATTGTCAGCCTCTCCGTGTCATTACAACGCATTCGGCAGATATTACGTGCCACTATTTCCTTTCTTTTTCCAAGTTGGATAAGAATTTGAAATCAAATGAATCGTGTAACCCCATACCTCTTCTCTTCCCGAGTTCCGAGAGAAAAAAACGTCATGTATCTTTCCCATTACGTCGTGCAATCTTACCCTGCAATATTTGCCCTATCCCCAGCAGCAATATACAACACTTGAATGAATTTGCCATTGCCGACTTTCCGTGTGCTGATAAAAAAAAAAAAACACCAGTTTAGTAGTGAAGACATCATTTTGCCTCTTTCGTCCAGCTCCTCCACGCTACCGATTTGAAATTCAAGACACATTGCATGTAATACCGTGTAAGAAAGAGCCAAACTCAATGCTAGAATAGCGGCGCCCCCGTTCTCCAGACGCTCCACACGAATGACTTGCTTCTTGCTTCATCCACCTGTCAAAATCAAAACCTGCTTGTCTCTCTATTCCCCAGATTGCCCAAACAAGCAGCAACCAGCCATCGGGGCACAAGCATATGATGTATCATTTTCTGTATCAACGCCCGTGAGAGATGGTATTACCAATCTATAGGCAGCCATAATAAGCAGTGGGCCTTTTACCAAGTATCAGGTATCAAGTAACATGCAAGCAAACTGATTCAGTGGTGCGCCTGCTGTGAGAAAACATCATACATTATATATGTATCTGATTATACACTTGGTGCTATTGATCTTCCACTCAGAGACGTCATAATGCATACTCTGTACATGCAGTCGTCAATTCATGCGGCCAGTTGCCGTCCCTTCCTGCCTGGTTTCAGACGGGATAATCATCTAAGTTCTATCTACACGTTCAATGCATGTGTGTATGTCCCTTACTCCCTCCCCTTTTACTCCTCCAAACTCATAGTGAGTTTCCCAAAGTCATGCGACATGCAACCTGTGATTCATCACACAAAGTGTCTATATATATGTACGTGCCATGGTCGTTGAATTCATATCCGTAGCTCAAGCTGTCTTCGACGAGGCTTTCACCATGTCATCACTTTACTCGTCGCGGGCAGTGTTTTCGCCCTCCAAGTGGATCTCAGCGACCTCATCAGAGTCATCGGAATTGGGAGCCCCGGTAGGTACCGTCAAGACGTCCTCGTGGGCTCCCGCTGGTGACGATGCTTCTCCTATCACATCTCCCTTGATAGAGCTGGCCGATGTCATGTGAGTGTCAGCTTCCGGGAAGCCTCCCGAGCTACCATGCTCGTCGCCGGATGAATTGAGTTGTGCGTCATCGCTGGCACAGTCTGCAGCCGAAGACCCTTCAGCTCCACTGCCATTTATCCCGTTGAAAGTCCAACCAGATGTCAAGTCAAGGGGGGTTGATTCCGCGAATTGAAAGCTGTTTGAGCCTTCGTCTTCGATGCTACGAATAGCCTCTTCATAGGGCGGTACTTCCCCATCGTGGCTATCAGAAAGGGGTTTGATCGTGGTGTGAGCAACACCGGCCTTTAAAGGCGAGCCACGAAAAGAGTTGTCCTCCTCGCTGGAATTACTCCCGTCGTCTCCGCTCGTTTCTGAGTTGTACTTTTCAAAAATCTGTCCAAACCGCGGGCCACCTAGATGACCGTGAGTTCGGCGACGATAAAAGAGTAGGTATGCTGCACTCGTCACAACCGACGAAGGGTCAGAAACGGATGAAACGGAAGAATCTAGTTTTTTTTTTTACAAGTTAGCCTTTTGTTCCGTCTTAGTTTTACGGCATGTGCGGATTAGTGATTCTCACCGTTGTAGTTGTACCAGCGCCCATCTACAAAGTTCTTCGCGTATGCGGTGTAATGGCCTCCGCCCAGCCCTCCGTAGTGGTCGTCGACAGCAATCAAGTCGTAAATCTCTTCTTTTCCATCCTCTTTTTGAATGACTCTCGAGGTGAGATCCAACCCTTCGATAGGGAAATCGACTAGAACGTCCAGCTTGTCTCGCCGCCATCCTGAGCTGCTAAAGCGCTTGAGGTGTGCAATCAGATAGTCTGGTGTTTTCCACAAGTCAAACTTCTTGCTTGCTCTGCGGTGCTCCTTGCATCGTGGGCAATACCACATGTCTTGCTCTGACAGGACTTCGGCTCTCTCGAACTCATCGAGGCACTCCTCCAAAGTGATACCGCGGGACCGGCGAGTTTGTCGTTTTCTCTGGCTGATCTTAAGCGCGGGGTCGTTGATAGTCTCCAAGTCCGCAAACGTCTTGGATCCCTGTGCCGCGTGCTGCTTCTTTCCAGTGTAACCAAACACAGTTTCCCAAGCCTCTTCACTCCAGTCCACTACGAGACCCTCGTGAATTCGGATCAACGGGCCACCATCGGCAACTGCAGGAGGTGTTGGTTCAGATTCGACAGCCGACGAACGGTTTGCTAGCTTGCCACCACGCATCTGCTTGTCGCGACGCTTGTTGCCCTTTTTGTTGTACATCTTGTGATTCTTGAACTTCTTACCGCCCTTCCGAGGAACTCTATTAACAGTGGTCCGAGCCAGCTGCTGCGTATCAAGAGTTAGCTAATGAAATATCAGTCAACGAATTAAAACAGGAACTTACCCGGGCATCGGGAGGAGCATCATCTTCGCTGGATTCATCTACCATACGTGTCTGCGGGGACTCTGGTTGTGGACTCTCGTCATCGTTACTGCTGTCCTCGTTACCAGAGGCCGTGCTATTCCAGCTTTCAGGGCTTGGCTCATCCTCCTCCTTGGCCGGCGGCTCTGGGATGCGATCCGAAAGTCTTGGGAGCGTTTTGTGATTGTCAATGACGTTTCCCCAGCCAGTGGGCACCGGACCATCAGCTTGACTGGCAAAGTAGCTCAGCTCAAAGAGACCTTGCAGCTCAGGGTCAAGGAACTCTCCAGGCTGGATAAACTTGGGACGTTGGGCATTGAAACGGCGGAGAAGCTGCGGTTGATGAGGCAGAGGGAGATCGGGAGGGGGCATGGTATTGGCACTGCTGCGAGCATCCTTCATGGCTACGTCAACCATATCCTCTTCCCCCTCAACAGATTTGGCAACAACTTTACTGTCTCCAGATGAGTCGGCATCAGAAGCATTAGTGATGACCATGTCTGACTCTGTCGTTTCTGGGCTTTCAGGCTCTTGTTGCTGGGCAAATTTTGACCAGGTGGAAAAGGTTGATACTCTTTCCAACACTTTACGCTTGATATCGTCGTAGTTGGACGCCTCTTCCCTCGTCAGAGTGATGAAGTGTGGAGGAGAGGTACCCTCTGGCCCCTTGCCAGTGATGTATGGCCGTCGGTGGAAAACTGGGACCACCATCGTCTCATATCTCAGGTCGCTGTTCCACTCGTCGGCAGCGTCAGGCAGGGTGCCGTCCGGCTCCGGCGTTGAACGAATCTTCTTTTGGTTGCCCTTTGCAGGCCAGTTGGTAGGCACAGCCTCCAACTCGTGGAATGCTGCAATATCGGATGTTCCAATCTCTTCAGAGATGTCGCCGCTATTGTCATAGATTTTGAAGAAGCGGTCCTTAAACTCTTCAGCACCCATGAGCCGGTTTGCTGGTACACCTGTGCGAATTGACAAAAATAGCTTGAGAGACTCGATGGAGCTATGCTTGGGCAGCTCAACCTCGAATTGGACAGGGACGTCATTGAGAGGGAAGAACTTGACCGTCTTTGACCACATATTCTCGACAGGCAAGGGCAGTGTTAGGTTGTTGAAAGGGTCGAATGTGATGCTGATTTTACCGCACTCGGGGCACTTGAGAGTTGACTTGTACATGCCCGTGAATAGGTCGGCGATGATTGAATCATCTCGCTTTCTGGTAATGTCCCAAACTTTGTCTGCCATCTCCTTGATTGCCTCGGGGTTGTTGATCATATCATCGGTAGAGTCTGGCTTTTCGATGTAAGGCTTCTTCTTGATGCGACTGAGGTCTTCTTGAAGAGCGTCGAGAAGGAAGCCGAGAAATTCCTGTGAGTCTTGCTGACCCCAGCCAGCAAAGGTGGTGCGGCAGCGGCCCACGGTGTTCTTGAAATCCCGAGGGCTTACTGATCCTCTGCCCTCATCGTAAATCTCTCTCAGCAGCCCGTTATACGCTGTGGCTACTTTCCCGTTGTATCCAAGAGGGTTGGACTTGTTGAGCTCACTTGCGTACGCCTCAGTAAGAAAGTACTTTGTCAACTCTTCCACACTACGCACGCACTGCAGCGCCGAGTTCATGTAGCAGGTGTTTCCGAGGTTATGTAAACCCACGGCGCCCAAGCTCCGACCATTCTTCTTTTTCTGCATCCTGCCACGAGTGGCAGGCCCATCTGAAGAGCTAGGGCTGCTTCGGCTGCTAAATGACTTGGACAATGCAGTGTTGTTGGTTCGCGTGGGTATTGCTTTATCAAGCATTGACTGGTTCTGGCTCGTACACCTACTCACCCAGACGTCCTTGCCGACTAGCTCATCAACGATCAAGACTTGGTCTGTCACAAGCTCAAAAAGCTGAATGGCGGCAGATCCATTGTAGTTGGGATTTATGGTTTGATCTTCGAGGGCTGCTAACCGCCTGGCGTCCTTGGAAGTACCAAAGGTCGCTACGTCAACGAGTAAGTGCGACCACGGCGAGTTTTCATCTCCATTTGCATCTTGGTTGCGGCCGGGAGAATCAGGCGGTGTTGTCAGAGCAGCTTGAGGCTGGACATTGGTTGTGCCAAGCTGTTCAGAATTGACCACCCAGAGCCGAATCTTGCGATCCATCGGGACTCCAGTAAGCTTCTTTATATCCTTAATAAAAGTTTGAGCATGGTATTTGCGACTTCTGGCTATAGCAAGAGGAGGTGGGTTGTCCGCTTTGAGAGACGACTCGATGGGCAGCGGACTGAGTTCAGACCAGACGCGATGCACTCGGAAAATTGGGGGATGGAGCTCAAACATGACATCCGAGGCAGAGTGCGCATCGACAGCAATGTTGATAGCAGTGCGGACAATGGGCATTTGTCCCTGTTCGAGACCATACCAGTCCATGACCAATTTCCATGCGTCTTCAGGAAAGAGCTCGAATGATTGTTGATCAAGTCCGGGTTTGAGGCGGACAAAGTCTTCATGACCCGGCTCTTGGAGGACTTCCTCAATAATGTCTGAGTTGTCGATTGGGCCCAATGAGGCATCGGTAATATCTGTCTTCCCCGAACGTAGGGATAACGCCTTATCCACCCATGTACGCGATACAAGATAGGCTTTATCGCCCTCCTTTGGCGACGAGTCTGCCGCAGCTTTGAGAAGCGTCTCGATTATCTTGACTTGTTCGGGGAGAGAGGGGAGGGGAGCAGCTATTAAGAATGAAAAAGCCTAGCATTAGCAATCTTGCAACCAGATTTGTCCTTGTCCCTTTTTCTTATCTTTGGAATGCTTTTATTCTCTTTCTCTCCATGAAATGAACTTACACTGAGCAGGGGAATCGGTGCCGTTGGTTGATGGCATGGTATCTGTGACTTCAACGACGTCGACGCTCATGGCGCGGGGCAATTCCGCTGAGGGGATGGATGACGATGTCATCTCCACGTCCTCGGCACTGCCGTTGGCAGCATCGCCATTATTGTTTGCAGTGGTTTCAGGATCCATGCTGGATGCTCGTCGTTTCAGTGGGGATGATGAACGTTTAGGCAGATCCGCATCGCCATTCATAACGACCCTCTTGGAGATGAGGAACGGTGACTGGCTCCTGGCGTAGGTTCGCACAGAGGCTGCGTCGTCTCCTCCTCTTTCGCTCTCAACAGACGGGTCGGGGCCGTTGGACGTGCCGGGAGACGAGGCAACGGACGAGGCGTAGTCGGCAGACACGAGGGACGAGCTGAGCTGGGCCTGGGTCTGGAGCCGCGAGGGGACGCTGGATGCTGGGATGGAGGCGGCACGGACGTACTGCGGCGCTTCAAGCCCGGAGGCTATGGGCGTAGCGGAAAAGGAGAGGGCGGCGTCGTCGTCGGGCTCGCACGAGGGGATGGCGGTGTCTGGCGATGGCGAGTGGGCGTCAAGATCGATCGTCAAGGGACGGGCAAGCTTTCTCTTCTTTGAGGAAGACGTCTTGATAGTGAGCTGCCCGGGCAGCTCTGGGGAGAACGGGGGGAGAGTCGAGTCGAGTCGGGAGGCGATGGGGAAGGCCTTGCATCTAGACGCTCGCCGGTCGAGGGGTTGATAGAATCAGCCAGTAGACAAAAGAACGGCCAGGGCACCGCACATCGGGGCAGTGGAGGCGGGCGTCTGTTTCGCGGGTTGGCGGTGTTTTGACGGCTGTGTGGGTCTCGATGTCAGCTATTTCTGGACAGTACAAAGTCAAGCAGGGGCAAAAAAAAAAGACGTCACGGCCACATGCAGCAGCGCTAGCGGGACACAGCACTGTGCTTGCTTGCTGTAGGGGAGAAGGGGCAGCTGGAGCAGAGCAGCCCAGCCCAGCGTCAGCAGCAGATGCGAATGACTCCGCGTCGATCCATGGCACGGCATGAGCTGGGCGTGGCTTCTGGCGTGGACTGGGCATAGTGCAGTGTGCAGTGTGTCTTGTGCCTGACACCTGCCTGAGAGTGGTGGTGGGTGTGATCTGTACTTCGTACCTGAACCTGGAGTTGCAGCTGGGCTGGGGAGAATGGCACGGCCGCTGAGATGCCCGCAGCCGGGAGGGTACGTGGCCTGCTTATATGGCCTGCTCGTGCCTGCAGGATCTGCTGCTAGGCTGTTGCAGCTATGAAAACAAAATAAACACAAAAAAAAGGGACGACCAAAGAAAAGAGAAAAAGAAGTGAATAACGGTAAAAAAAAAAAAAAGTGAACCAAAGCAAAAGAGGAACAGCAAGATCGGCCTAGGGCCCCGTTTTATGCGCACATGTAAGTAAACAGCGAATCAGGCAACGGATAGCGCAGCAGGGAGCTGTCTGGTGGGAAAAATTTCATTGATGTTACAAAAATAAAAACCAGCAGTGAGCCCCATCCAAAAGCGAAGAAAAAAAGAGGCCCAGGGCTAGAGGAACTAGCGGATAGCTCGCGGCTGCCCTTGCGGGTGCGTCTCAAGAGACCCGTAATCGCCTGAAGAAAAACTGCCGTTTGGTGCTGAGATTTTCGAAGGGCTCTCTCCGCGCTGTAGCTGCGGCGAGGCGAGAGCAATCCCCACCGCACCAAGCCCAGGAATGACGGCCAGCGCACTGAGAGCCCCGCGCACGGCCCTAACAGACGCCTGGAGTTGAACTGCCGTGGCCCTAGGCGTCCAGGTACCTCGAGAACATGTTCCCTTTCGTTTGCCTGATTTGCTGACGCCGTCGAAGCTGCATCAGGTACCAGTAAATTCTAATACTAGGTAGTACCTAACCAGTGGCAAAAGCGATGCGAATGGAATCCTTCCCATTGCTGCCTCGTCATTAGTAATTGTAGCTAGGTAGCTCTGGGACACGTATTTATCCAGCATCCGCCTTGTTCCTCCAGGCACACCGAAATACGTACATAAAATCCATTTTGGGAATCCGAGATCAGCCTTGCCAGCCCACTAACAAAGCAGTACCTTCATCGTAGGTACCGCCAACTTGCACTCACCTCTGCACCGTGTTGGCTGCGAGGGGCACAGACTGTGGCGACCGCCCGGCGTCTTTTTTTCCATAGTAAAAAGGCAAACGAGAACGGATCCGGAAACTGGCTACGTGCTGGCGTGCAAATATTTTCAGGTCCCGACTCAGTCTGGTTGCTAGTAACGCTCTGTCGTCTAACTGCCTCGGCATCAGAGCAGCCTGTTGTTACCTAGGTGGTATCTACCTATACATTCTAGGTGACGAAATGGCAAAATACGAAGCAGGTAGTAGATACAAAGCCTCGAACAGTAATTAGCATGAGTCTCAAAATCAAGATCTGGTTATATTCGATACCCCTATATAATCTCATGCTGTAGATACAAGCACCTATTTGTATGAGGTATCCTGCGGGGATGTTGTGGCTGCTGTCTCTTGGACGCAGTGATATCTCAAGTAGCAAGAAACCCAGGTGGCTGTTGCTCTCATCCCCTCATCCAATCAATGTAATCAATGGAAATAAAACTCTAATATATATATATATATCTACCTGCATTTAATGCTATCTCCAACTCTCCCCTAGGAAATCCCCTTGCGTGTGCGGCATCAAACATCTAGTATCAGGTTATTTTTTCCCCCCTTTTCTCTTGAACAATGTGAAATTCTTCGTAATTCGTCAACATGGCTCGGCACTTCAAAGTTTGGAATCGATTTCCTCAAACTCCTTGAGGTCTTTGACAGGGCGAGCACCAGAGCTGACCTGAAGGCCAGCCTTGTATTGTCGACCATCGGTGATCTCAATTGCCGCATCTATGGCTGAAGTCTCGTTGCTAGATGTCTCGACATTGGGGGAAACCTGAGGTAGTCCTAGCTCCTTGGCTTGGGAAAGCAGGGTTGTGCGCTGGTCATCCGAAACCGACTGTCCAGTCTTCAGATGTCCCTCCAAAAGGTCAAGGCTTGCTCGGTTCTCCTTGGGAACATCTTCCAGTCCCAGGTTCTTCAGGAGGTCCACAACCTTGGAGTCCACTTCGCTAGATCCTCGAGCGTACAGATGAACTGAAAGACGAGCTCGGCTGCTGGAGGAAGGGCTAAAGTATTTATCGAAATATTCCAACATTTCAGCCTTTGTTAGCAGCTTGGCGTTGGCCGCATCATGCTGGGCTGTGATTTTTAAAAGTTGCATATTAGCATGCCGCATATACGTAATTGGGAGCGAAGCAAGAAATCCATTAACATCACTTACCTTGTTCAAAATCATAGTATTCGTTAGATATTTGCGCCCAGTGTCTCGAAGTCTCTTGATCCAGGTTTCGCAACTTTTCGAGTCTCTTGTTGATCAAGCTTCGTTTATGGCCCTCAAACTCAGTGTCCGTCATCTTCTGCAGGCTTTCCCCAAATTGAACCAAAAACGCCTCGATGCGTCTGTCTAGGTAGTCAGGAGTCCTCTCGCTTTGGATCAAGAAGCGGAAACCACATGTGGTAGCAAAGTTGCGGATACTGGCAAAGACAATGTATCCAAGCTGCTCTTTCGTCCTGAGCTGGTCAAAGGCGGGCTCATGCATCATCTGATCCATCAGGAGAGTTTTGGCGCGAGTATTTCGGTTACCTCTGTCACCTACATAGAGCCAGGTTTCCACGCAGTGGTTGACGTTTGCCGGGTCCTTCAACGTCTTTTTGTAAACGTAATTTGATCCCGAGGGCAAGATGAGTGAACGAATAATGGGCCACTGAGACTTCAACAGCACGCGAGGCTTGAGCGTGGACTCAACCACCTCTGTCGCATCAAGTGCGTCGCTCTTGCTCATGTTTCCATGTACATAGACTTCAGTGTACATCTGAGCCAGCATCTGCTTCTGAAATTGTCGGATATCATCCGAGGTGACCTCTCGCAGTTCCACAGCAAGTTCTTCCACCAGGTAGTCACATTCTGCGTTCAGCCAGGATGTGTAATCTCCTACTTGCTGATATGAAGACTGAAGTTGCCAATTATCATAACCGCGGGTAAGGCGCTCTTTGACAATGGCGAATCGATCCTCCCTGATCTCAATATCTCGCAAGGTAGAGGTAACTTTCCTAAGGAGAAGCAGAAGCTTGTCGTTATATCCCGAAATATCGAGAAACATGCCTCGAGAATCCAGGGAGACGGTATACTCAAGTCCTGCAAGTTCTGCGTCATAAGAGTACTCTTCCAGGGCGTCTCGTACTAGCTCTGTAAAAAGTCTAGCCTTGACACTGTTCTGTGCAGAGGCATAGATGAGAGGGTTCTTCAGGCTCACGATGACGTTCGCCTTGGGCACCCAGAACGTATCGTCTTTCTTCCACCAAGTTCGGGCCTCTGCGTCGTTTCGCAGAATTCGGGGGGCCAATGCAGGCTCTGGCACTTCCTTCTTTTCGACCTCGAGCTTGTTAGGGATGAAGCTGTTCTTGTGAGGCAGATGCAACTGTGGCAGTCGCTGCTGGCTAGGGGTATTGATGGCACGTTTCCAATCCTCCATCGCATCTTCAGGGATTTTCCCGTATGAGTATTCTGTGCCGTACCACTTTTCCTTCAGGTTCCAATTGCCGGGGAAAGTGCGTGATACAACGGAAAGACGGAGATTCTCTGGTCGAATCTTGGACAAGGCCTGCTCAATGTGTCCTGCATCAAAAACGCGCAGCCGGCTGTGGGCGCTCAGCAGCCACTCTCGCGGCAAAGGCTTCTGCATCACGGAACTAACTCTGCTCGTGAATCGGCTGGCTGGAGTTTTCTCTCTAAACTTAAAGTCCACATCGGCCATGCCCTTTTGCTCTTGGAAAATCCATTCCTGAGGCGAGGCTTCACGCAAGAGGGCGATGTACTGGAAAAAGATGTTGATAATTTGAGGATACACTTTAAGGCCCTGCGGTTTTACTGTTAGAGCACATCTTGCTAGAATATGGGGTTCTAAGCTTACCTCTTCCGTCAATCGGATTTGCACTTCAAAGACACCGGGCGTGCCGGGGCAGATTGGGTAAGCACCGGCGGACAAGCTATTGGCCCAGCCCTTGTTTTTGATATACGACATGATACTACCGGGACCTTCATGTCCAATGAGGTGGGAGCAGTACCTGCTCGGCTGAGACTTGTACAAATCCTCCTCGTCAATGAAGGGGAAGCCAAGGTTCAGCTCTCTGGTGTCCATTACCGGCTTTGCGAACCACTGGACACCAATATCATTTTCACGGAAAGGAAGCTCTTCCGTCCATCGATTTGGAGCCAAGCGTTTGTTAGCGATGCCAGAGAAGAACTCAACAGCCCAGTCCTGAAGCACATCCAGAGGTTCCCGACCCAGAATGACAAGCTTCATGCGGTTGGCGGAGTAGTGCTTCGCGTGGAACTCGATAAACTTGTCTCTGACATTGATGCCGCTGGCTTCTGGGATGGTCTTGAGCACTTCCAGGTTGCCAGTAGAAAAGTGGCAGTAAGGGTGCTTCGGATTTGACAGCGACTTGTCGAGCTGGTGGAGACGCCATGTGTCATTCTGCAGATTCTTCTTGTTCTCCGAATCAACGGCCTTGAGCTCTCTGTCCAAGGTGCTAGATAGGAAAAGCGGTTCAATGAAGAACTGCGCGAAGCGGTCGAGAGCCTCGCGGAGTGGCGAAGGATTCGTCGCCGACGGATTTTCGTCATTGGCCGGCTTGGCTGCGACGTCGAAGTAGTAATTGGTCGATGTGGAGGCTGTATAAGCATTGGAGCTGCCGGAATTGGCAGACAGATACTGGCCGTACTCATTCTCGATGGGGAACTTTTTGGTGCCCATGAACAAGAGCTAGCATTGCTCCAATGTCAGCCCGCCAGGATTACAAGCACAAAAGGGTTAAATGCATGATTAGAAACAAAAAAAAAGGAGGGGAGAAGATGAGCAATTGCAGAACGAGAAGAAGAGGGCCGAGGACAATCAAACAAGACAGAAAACAGGAGCCAAGCGGCAGAGCAAAGCAGGGGAAACGGCACGGCTTACATGCTCGACTGCGTGTGCCATGCCCGGCATTCCATCCTCGTCGCTGAAGTTGCCGACGTTGACGTCGAGCGCGGCGCTGGCCTTGTCCGTCTCCGGATCGTGCACCAGCAACGCCTCGAGCTCATTCTCCAGGCGGATGACCCTGTACTCGCGGTCGTCCAGCGAGGGCTTCTCCAGGCTGTCCGTCAGGATCTCAACCGGCGAGTGGCGGCTGGGGGCTTGGGCCTCAGCCTTGGCCGGCGCCGGCACATGCGCGGGCATTGCGGGGGGGCGGTTTTGCGAAGAGCGGCGAGCGAGCACCAACAACAATCACGGCGAATGGGCAGCGACGAGCCTTGGCGGAGAAGGGAGAGGATGCTCGACGACGCACAGCTTGGGGATTGCACAGGTTGATGTTTTTTGGAGGTGGCGGCGGGCTGACTGATCGAGACCCGCGTTTGCTGAAGCTCGCCAGTAGTGGGGGCGCCACCGTCTTTAGGTGCAGGCCGTCTCGTCTGTCGTAGGGAGTTGCTGGAGCTCAGCTGCTTTGTAGGATTGGATGGGCGTAATGCTAGGTGGTAATCTCTGTCGTCGGGCGGATTTCGTCGTGGTGAAGCCGGGTTTGACGAGGTTTTTAGGTAGGCCTTGGATGCGGTAGGATGCAGGTAGGTTGCTTTGGTGGCAGGAGAAGCGAAATGGCTGAGATCTTGTCCCCTCTGAAGCACAACCAGGCGATGGCACCAATGTTGATGCTGAGTCTGGCGTTAGTCTTGGACGGCGGCTTGAGCCTGCGGTGAGTGTCTCGAATTCGGCATGCAAGAGCAATTCGGGAGCGACCTGGACATAAAAGAGCCGGCTTTGCTGATTGCGTATTGGCCAGGTGCCTGGACGCTTATAGAAGTGCCTGGACGATGCAGGCCGCTGAGGAAGCTTTGATGCTTATCTGCTCAGAGGAGTCCGCGATGCAAACAGCTGGCAAGCTCCTCTTTCATACTTGTCTGTAGCTGGTCCCTCAAGGTTCCCCCCGGCACCGCTACAGGCCGGAGAAAAAGTGGCAGGCTACGCATTGGGTAACCCAAAGGGAGAAAAAAGTTAGCTGTACTACGAGCGAATCGTGATAGATCTTTGATCTGTGTCTGCGATTTACAAATTTACAGCTTCACACAAAGCTGTGCTTGTGCTTGTGATTGTGCTGAGCTTGAGCTGTGCGAGGCTCCTTCAAGCTGCCAATTGCTCCCAGCGGTGCCCAGACTTGGCGAGCCATTGAGGATTGTGGCCTCTGCTACAAAGTGTGAGAACAGCTGGTATGTGCGTATGAGATGCCATACACCAGCAAGGATCCGTCTCTTGGACTCGGCCGGCACTACGAAAAGCCAAGAGGAAGCTAAAAAATGCGGCCATCAGGCATTTATTGGCCGCGAATCATGGGGCCAGCAGGTCAAATGCCGCTCGTTGTTTGCTGGGGCCGTGCTCGTGCTCGGGATGTGGCAGCACAACGGTTATCGGTGTTAATGGTGGTTGTACAAGTACCGCACACGGCCAGTCGCTTCTGTCTGGCACGCAGAGAGACGTCGCTCGCCAGTCCCAAGGCCCGGACAAAGGTTCTGCGTGAGCCTGCAAGGGGTGTGGAGGGATGATCCCCGTCTCGTTCCCACCATTGCTGGCGTTAGGACGACTCGCAAAGTGGATATAAAATCCTCCAAACCTCGACTTTGGCTCCGCTGCTCGCTCAGTGCAGACATGAGAATTTCTCTTTGTTCAAAATCATGCTTGTAGATGTTGACGAGGACGAGGTATCTTGGCAAGACCCCAGCGTTGGACAAGACATGGCCCGAGGCCCGTGAGGTCTGGGTTGTGGCCCATCGCAAATCCACGCTGCTGGTGGCGCTTTAGACATGGCGATGGCGGGGGAGCCGTACTGCACATCAACCGCAAGCAATACTGTAGACCAGATGAAACGCAAGTTGATGTTTCCCTTGGGCTCGTCCACAGGTTTGTTTGGAACCGACTCCGTCCAGAGGGGCGCGCTAGACATGGAGGTCAGGGTTTCGATCTGATCTGCTTACTTGGGTCGGTGAGGTGAGCTTAGGCCATGGTCTTGCATCCAAACCATTACCCAAACATGGACATTTGACACGTCAATGACTTCCGCGGGACTCAAGTGCCGCCGGCCCATCAGGGTCATCGTCCCGAGCATCGGCTATCGTGGGGAGCACCAAGACCCTTTGCTTTGCGTGAGGCATCGCAGAGTCTTGCTATGCGGTGCCCGCAGCTCCACAGCCAGCGGGTAACTCTCGAGGAGCATGCGCCATTCATGTGTCCCAAGACACGCATAGTCTCACATCTCTGAGAAGAGAATTGATCGTGTGCTCACTCGCGCTGCTGGCTTTGGCGAGGGTGGCACCACCGAGGTCTGACACAGCGGTGACCGTGTCCAATGCCAATAGCTTCGTCTGAATCAGAGCTAGACAAGCTCTCCTCCCCCTCAGCAACCTTGGCAAATATTGGCCTCTCCACGGACGAAACGGTCCAGCTAAGCCCAGATGCAGTGGTGGCACGCCATGCTCGCTCCCATCTTCATTTATATGGCATATAGCAGCGAGGCTAAATTGGTAATCGCCGTGTACTGTAGCATACTGGCGAACGCAATCCATATGCATGTGTGTAATATAGAGGCAATCCTGCGGGCGGCCAGTGGTCAATCTAAGCGCTTGTAGCAGGTGCCTGCGCGCCTCTGACGGATGAAGCTCGTTGAGTATCAATCGCGGTGGATTCGTCTTCTGCAAGCTGTCAACGAAGGATCATGCTAGCAGACCCCGCAAATAGCCTGTCCAGAGCACAAATGATGGCACAGAACGTACGAGATTAGTATATAAGAGAGGCCATTCGCAGATCACAGACCCTCTTCCGTCTATCGGCTGATGCCCTGCGGGTAATTGTCAGTTGTAAGAACTAGAGTCCGAGATGGTGTTGAACTCGACAGACTGACCTTGCTTCATTGCCAAGCTCGGCTTATTTGGTTGTTTTCTCAAGCTTTTATACCCAGGGTACTTGGGTACGCTCTTCGTGTATATCCGCGCATATATGGGATCGAAATGCGCCCGCTTCGGGAACCTTTTGCAATATAAAAGTAGTATTTCATTCTATAAAGGTAAAAGTCTCAAATCAAAATGTCGTCAATTACTCATCGCTCCCGCAATTTGTGACAGGCATGCACGTACGATATGTGATAGAGAAATAGCGTCGCAGCTCTGTGATTGGGTCTCCCATCCCACCAGGCTGCATGTCATTTCAGCCCTCCCGGCGATGGCAGGGAATTTATGATATATCTTGTATGGAGTACGGCTAGTTGAGACATTAACCGAGCCTCAATATGAGGTACTTGTAGCTGCCCGCAATCTCAGCTTCTGCAGCAGGCCGAGTATGGCATGTGGAGTCATGGATTATCTACTTCATCTCGTGTTATCCGAGTTGGGAGCCCTCAGCTCAAGTCTACGCCTATTTACAGCTGCAAGGATTGGCAAAGGTAATTAAGAACATATATTATCAAGACTTTACAATGAGTGAGTTTGAAAATGGAAATTATATACGAAAGGGGACACAGGGTCTGGTCATGATATGCAAATGGTGCTGCAAAATGCGTTTTTCTATTGTTTCGGTGACGTTTGATATCGCAAACGCTCTTCTATTCTATGTGGGATAATCAAGATGCTTTTAAATGAAGAGATTCATGGTTGATGCATGCGGGATCAACAAACATTCGTCTATGGCTGAATCGGGTATAAATTAGAGAGGATGCCTCGGTATTCGTAAAAGTATTACATTACCCCATGTGGATAGAGTGTGTATAAGTCGTCCGTGGTGGAATAGGGAGTTTACAAGGGCCAGGAGTGTAAAAGGAAAAAGAAGAGTTCATGATCGCTTGGAACCACTTTTGGGGCAGCTAGCAGCCTTATGTCCAGGCTGCTTGCAGATGTAACATGCAGAGGAGGCTGAGTTGCCCCCACCTCCAGATGATGATATGGAGGTGATCTTGTTCAGCGAAATTTCCTTCTTCTTCCTCTTTTCACGGAAGTCTTTGGCCCTTTTACTTTCGTCGTTGGGTCTAGTTCTCGGTCGCGATTGTGAGCGTGAGCGACTTGAGCCGTCTCCAGCATCTGAATGTCTCTCTTTGCGCTTTCGGCTCGAATCCTCGCCATCACTGGATGATTCATCGTTTGAGCCGTCTTCTTTCTCGGAATTGGGTTTCTGCTTAACGGTCAGTAAAAGGACAAAGGCAGAGCCTAAGCCACTATGAGAAGTAACCCTGTGAACATACTTGATTTTCAACCTCCTTGGGCTTTCGCGTCGAAGTCCGCCCACTCTGCGGGGCGTCTTCGCCAGACTCGTCATCTGAATCTATATCTCCGTAGCCAACATACACAACATTCAGAGACGGTTTTGGAGGCGCGCTTTCGTTCAGCTTGTCCAGCTTTGTATTCAGGACCCAATGCGCGCCGCTCGCAGTGTGTTGGGCAAGCGCTGCCTGTCGCTTTGCCTCTTGGTCTTCAAGCGCTGCCTTGATCGATGCTTGATCGATCAATGCGCTGACCCTTTGTTCTGCTGCGGTAGCCGCTGAGTTGTTCAACCTTCGCTTTTTCGACGATTGAGAGCTGTCATCTGTTTGTGGCGACGATGAAGCGGATGCGACAGCTCGTTGCATGAACTTCATGGTTAAGAGTCTCGAAGAGACCCCTTTCGGCGTGTCTGGAGCCATTTTTGTGGCAGATCTCTGTGATAATTCTCTTCGGATATTTCCTTGCCACACTTATTTCGACAGGCGATTCGTACGGCGGATACGGGCTTTGATTGATAGATATGATTCTTGAATGGGAGGCTCTGGGAAAAAAGTTCAAGTAAAGCTAAGCTTGTCGATAGTATGCGACCCGCGGCTAGCGGGAGATATCCATCGATCTCGGGAAATATTTGTTCCGCTGCCTCGTCCAATCCACCTCCATATCCGACTTCAACTCCAGTCAAGCGTCCTGCTCGGCTTCGGGTCCAGATATATAGCACAATCTCATCACAGCCATGGCGTCGTCTCAATTGCGAGCGGTCCAAACGTTGACGCGCAACTTGCGCGCATCAAGCCGCACATTCACCACCTCCGCACGCCGACTCGAAGCTCCTACACCCGTTACCTCTACCAGCGAAACGGCCGCAGTGCTGGAAACCGACGCAAAAGCCATCGGCCAGGCTCCCAACCGCGCCGCTGTCTGGTCTCGAAGCCAGAAGCCCCGAACTACGGCTATGACAGGCCCCCGTTTCGAACAGACCGATTTCAGCCTTCAGGTATAAACACCAGCCGAGGATTGCCATGGGAGGGATGAAAATCTGATTTGCTCGCAGCCCCAACCTTATTCAGCCATGGAGCTGGTACACAAGGTGCCCGTTACATGGACTCACGACCGCATTGTCTCATGCAGCGGCGGTGGCGGTGCTTCTGGCCACCCCAGAATCTTTATCAACACCGATAAGCCGGAGATTGCTTCCTGCAACTACTGTGGCACTCCTTACGTATGCTAGACTGCCCTACGCAAACCAATTAGGAGACTGGGAGAATTCTAACCGCGGAATAGGCCAACGAACACCACCGAAAACACCTTGAAGCTCTGCCAGAGACTTCATACCCCCTAAAATAGACTTGATCAGTTGGAAGAGGGAATTTGTGTTATTGAGTTTCTGGTCATAGATAGTCTCTGGGCCGGTTCACGAGTTATTTGTATAGTTATGAAGAACCAAAACAGAGAGAGAGAAAAAAAAAACAATTACAATACGCATAAGGATCTGCGTGAGGTACCAAATGTCGCAACACGGCATGTATAAGCGCCTATTACCTTACCTACCTATAGGCATATCCCAGAGACATCTCGCCCATGGGATGCCGGCCCAACAACGTGAATGAAAAGTATATTTATATCAGTCCAATCCTTCGCCCATCCTTTTACCACATTGAGTACACAATTCTCTATATATATAAACTTGTGGTGTAACGCGCGGCTCAAGACGGTATACTTCTATTTCAAGCAGCGAGGTAGCATCAACCCCACTAATGTCGACTAATGTCGGCGTCTACAGTTTCGTCTCCACTTCTCATAACATCACAGTGACTACAGAATGCCTCAGCAAGCTAGTGGTGATATAAAAACCATTATCCTTCTCCTCTTGTTTATGATTGCACTATTTCCAAATTCAATCTATTATATCTGGACTCTTCCTCTCAGCCTCGTCTTCACACGGCCGCCACCACCTGCAGACTCTACCACCCCCACCATGTCTTGGTTCCAGAAGCAAATCACACTACCAGCCCAATCGCGTGGCTCATATCTCATCACGGACCAGATAGTGTCTGCGCTCCCAGAGATTAAAGGCTACAAGGTTGGGCTGCTGAATCTATTCGTCCAACACACAAGCTGCGCCCTAAGCCTGAATGAGAACTGTACGTCAATCAATGCTATTATTACTACCACTCGTTGAAGTGAGTGTAGTTTGGAGATGAGGAGAAATGTGTGCAAAAGTCTTATACTGTGGGTCTTTAGGGGATGAGGATGTGAGAGCCGACATGAGCGATGCTCTCGACCGCATTGCGCCTGATTTCGGGGGCAAAGGAGAGGCACTGTACCGACATGAGTATGTATATCAATGATTGGCCTTTCAGGTTCTTATGCTAATGCTTTCATGAACAGTGCTGAAGGCCCCGATGATATGCCGGTGAATCTCCATCTACATACCTCTACAGTGATATTGAAAACCTCAATCTAACCATGTGTAGGCCCATATCAAATCAGCCCTCATCGGTGCCAGTGTCACCGTTCCAATTCAGAACGGCAAATTGGTAAGTATCGCAAAGTTTCCCCTTGTTTACGCATCTACTTATGCCTGTGTTCTTCTTGTTAACACTTTCGCAAGGCCACGGGAACATGGCAGGGGATCTGGTACTTGGAATTCAGGGCAAGTAAACACCAGCGCCGCATCGTGGCAACCATTCAGGGAGAAAAGGCATGAAGAGAGAGAGTCTATTGTAACATTGAATTGGAAATCCTTATATGTATTAGACAACCTGTAGCTTCAAACATGCATACATTGAATTGTTTTACCTATACGCCAAACACCATCGCCATGTCTCCTTTTTCCAATATGCTGTTCATTTCAATCAATGTGTCCCATTTTCCTCAACCATATCCGTATCGTCTCCGGCCAGAACCTTGGTCTTGGGCACATATCCATCGGGAGCACCTGAACCAGGGGTTGCAGCGACAACTTCGCCATTCTCGTCAACAAACTCAAAGTTGTAGCGACTGAGGATATGAGGAATGGCGGACAGCTGCGGTCCATATCTGGCGGTGTTGTCGTAAAGCTCGAATAAAGGGACGGCTAAAAGCTTCATATTCTTTGGCACGCTTAGAACCTCTATTTGGGACGAAAAGGGGGGGATCGTTAGCGCCTGCAACAAAGACTATAATGATGATGACTGATGAAACTTACTGCTCTTCGGTAGCTGAATGAAATAGAATTTTTTGCACTCCTTGGGCCGTGTGACGTGCGCAGGGACAAATGGATACATGAAGGTCTCGAAGTTTGGCCTCCACCACTGCGCCAGGCACTCGCCAACCTCCCAGTCTCCAGCCTCTTCTCCCTCGCCCAGTCGGCCAACTGGCGCAAGTCTCTCGTCTAATCGAGCTTTGAACCCCTCTACCTCGTCGTCTTCTGGCTTCAGGTAGTCTCCAGGGAGCTTGAAGAACGCGTTTGCGATCTGCAGCATGAGGATGTGCGGGTGGTTGTGCTCGTGGCATACCAGGATGCCTTCGCATGTTCGGCGCATGCCATGCTCGCTGAAATGTTCTTCTAGACGCTTCAGACGGGCAATTACAGACGGATCTTCTTCTGGCTGTGTCTCTTTCACGCCGAACGTGTAGTTGGATAGCGGATAAAGCGTAACCTTCTCAGGCTGGTTGGCATTGAACGACAATGGGATCGTGGGCGGAGACCCCGATTGGAGGGCCGAGGCCGGGATGGTTGACATGTTTGAAGCTCGTCGCAATGAAGGCTAGAGTGGATTGAGCGAGCGTCCCTTGTGCTTCCTGCTCGATGGCATTCGGCAGAAGTTGTTGACGGCCAAAGGGGATATTGGCGAGAGCAAGCACGCGCAGCCGGCACGGTCTCCACAAACTGGCAGCGAGGCTGGGGCAGAATGCGATAGCTAGGCTAGACCGTCTGAATAGGAAAGCGGTGTGAGCTGTAGGCGGGTGTCTAGCGCTACCAGCAACACAGCCATATCCAGTGCTCTATCTACATCTACCTCCTAGTACCTTATTCTTGAGCTCTCGGATGAATAAAGATGATATCTGTCTATGGTAGAGGACCATATGTTACCTATAGGTACTTGATGAAGTATATTGCATCACTCGCAATATCTGATTATTAAATCATATCAATATTCATAAACCCGCCTCAGTGGGTGCTATACCCGAATACTACCTATTTGCACCAGATAACAGTGTTAGGCAGTAGTGCTTTCAATGTTTGCTTACATTTAGAACATCACTCAGCATTGCAAACGCTTGATGGAAGTTATTAGATATAGCGTGAGGCCTTATCTCTTCATGTCTGATACGAGGTCTTATCATGTGAGCGACGCCTTTTTATTCGAGAGATTAGCCAGCCCACCAATATATTGTAAAGTGCTACAAGATAGGGACAATTGATTAGCAGCTCACACTAGGCTCAGTAGTATTCCATTGAACGATTACGCAGGTATCCGGGCGGCGCCCCAAGTGCGCCGTTGGCAGCCACCAAGTGTGACAACACGAGGTCACGAGAGACGGGACATGATAGAGAGAACTTATCCGGAGCAGGCATATTCTCTGCAGGCACCGCAGGTACACTGACATTGAACGCTACTAGGCATGTATAAGACCGTACTGCTAATGTACCGGTAGTGCTGGTGGGCTTACTTCAACATCTACAGCATGACTACCAGCCTATCCGCGTGCTGCTGAAGAGCCATACAGTACTTGAGCATGCCTAGAAACGGGCGATGCGCAATGAGGGGCCAACAGGGGCAGATCTGCAGCATGATGCATGCGCAGCGCCCTAAACCCCTCTGTATCCCACGCCTTTGCCCACGCCTGCCCACGCTCGCCAGGGCCAGTTTGGGGGCAAGGAGGGCTTGGCTTGGCGCTCGTTGGTCTGGAAGCAGCCTGGAATATCCGGGGTCCGGAAGGGTGGTCTGCCATCCAGGCGATAAATTTACGGGGCGAAGCTGATGCGACGCCGGCCAGCTCCAGTGATTGCCTGTTTGTATCGCGGAAAAGCGGAAGGGCTTTCCAGTGCGATTGGCGTGCAGTTCAATGGTATTGGTACCGCCAGAGCCCTATGTGCTCAGCGGCAGTAAAGCTGGGCCAGCGTCACGCCGGTGCGATGCCACGATATCCGGACGAGTCCTCAACTAACATCTGCCTAGCGTAAGCCCCCTCCAGCAAAGCCGGAACAAAGTCGCCTGGAGCGGCTTCGGAGCTGACGCAGGACGTTTCTGGAGATACGAGGGCATTTCTAATTACACGCTGAACCTGGGAGATGAATTGTCTTGTCTCGGTGCGCAGAGTGATGGCAAGTAGATGCAAGGAATCGCTCCTCTTGCTCGACTCGACGCAGGTCACGGGCAAGGCCACCGAGTGGGGGAATCTCCCACGCTATGTAAATGTAGCTTAACCCACATCCACATCCTCAGATCGACGCTTAGCTGTGCCTCTGTCCATCTTCCCCCGAGACGCAGGAACTCAAAAAATCAATCTCTGTTTGGCCCGTTGATAGAGTTTCCTGGTTCCCAGACGGCCGCCTTCGCTCCCCCGCTCTGCCCTAGCGTCATGCGCAGATCACGGCCATTGACACGCTCCAGTCCGCTTGCAGCTTCTTGTTAGCCACAATGGAGGCGACGTTGCTCAGCAGCCTCCACACCAAGCTGGATGACCTGGAGGGCAGGCTGCAAGCCTATCGCTACGACCTGATCTCCGATTTTCAGCGCTACTACCACGACCTGCTCACCGGCGTCAACCCCAGCGTCGCGACCAGCATCCAGCAGGCCATTGCTCCGTCCTTTGCCAACTACCCGATACTGCGTCCCGAGCTGGCGGCCGCTGACTCACAACCACCTGACAGGCCCCAACCGGCCACATTCCAGCAGCCTGCGACGCCCGAGGCTTCTCCTCGTATCGAGGCTCCTAACGGCTCGCACGACCGAGAGGCGGATCTGCAGGGCCTCTTCACGCCAAGCTACCTCCCGCTGCTGGACAGCTCCCCTCCCTACCACCGCCCTGCCGTGCCGGCTACCACCCCGACGACGACTTCTATCCAGGCCACGGATCCCTTCCCGCTGCTGCCTGCCATGGACACGCCGCCAGCCGACAACAGCACTGCCACAGATGATGGTGTCACCATGGACAGCCTTGCAACCCAAGGGAACAACGCGGCTCCCGCAGGCGGCCAGGCTCCGTCTGAGGCGAACCGCCTGGTGAGGACCGCCACCGAAGAGTCAACCTCGTCTGCGTGCTCGGACAAGAGCGATTCCAAGGTTATGCGAAGTGCCATGCGACGCTCCTCCAGTATATCTAAACCGCCTCAGAGCCCCCGACGGGTGCGGTTCGAGTTCATGGGTGCAGAGGTGCTACCTACGTCATCGCCTCAGCAGGTGGAATTTATACCTCCCAACCCAATGTCGCCGGCCGCAGAGGACGAGCCAATTGCCTCCGATATGATACTTGGCGACGATATTGACGAGTGGCAACCTCCTCGGAAAAGTTCTTCTACAGAGGCCTTGAGGGCCTTGTCCAGGGCTCCAGCGGAAGAAGGTACCGTGTGGACTGTTGTCGATCCTGAGGCAGACAAGGCCAATTCCCACCCAGATAGCGCGAATAAGGAGACCTCAAAGAATCGCAGCTCCATGGAGCAGACCAAATCTACTATGAATAACCCAAGAATAGAAGTTTCAACTGGCGCTGCCCAAAGCAAAAATACAACCTCATCAGAACCCAGCGCTGCCAACGGCCGTGGTCCTAAGACCAACAAGAATACTGACGACTCATCAGATGATGAGGCTGACTATTTGGCCATGGGCAAACGCAAGTCTGCTATGAAGCAGAAGTCTACATCACCTCCAGCCACCCAGTTGCCGATAAGAGGAGCGAGTAACGGAGTTTCACCTACGGCGCCTGGCTCAAACAAATCGCATCCCAATGTCGACAATGCCTCTAGAGAGACTAGGAGTCCCGCTACTACGGACAATGAGAGCTTTGACGATTATGGTGATGACGATGACCTGTTCGAATTTGAGCCTGCCGGCCTAAGTGCTCCGCCGAAGCCGCGCGAGAGACAAGCAGCTCCCCCGCCAGACGAGTCATCAGATGACGATGATGACGAATTTGAGGATGAAGTGCCAACCATGGCTCAGTCCACTCAGCAGCCGCTTTATTCGACATCACCAGCTGTTTCTATCGCGCGGCCACAGAGGCCGGAGAACTCCATGGCCTCGGTGTCAAGGTTCCAGCCTGGGTCCCTCGGGTCATACAAAGGTCGGCCAGTCGTCATGCCTGTTGTGCGCAACCCTGAAGTGCACGCAAGGGCTGCCTCTTTGGGCCAATTCAACACTTTTGTCGGGGGCCTAGATGGCCGTAGCGGAATGGATGAGGGAGATCTTAGTAGCTTCCGTGCCAGCGTTGTTCAGCCTGGTTTTTCGGGTACCCCGCGGAGCTTCACTGAGCGCTTCATGATGGAAGAAGCACAGGAGGAGAGGAAACGGAATGGCGCCACTCGGTGATATGATTCCCTTTATATGAAATTTGCTGGCGTCTTGTCTCGGAGGTTGGTTTCCTATCTCAGCTTACAAAGGCATGGTGGGTGGGTATGAATTTAGGACTATATGGAAATGGAAATCTCGATGGCGTTCATCTCTGTGAAGGGTTTGTGTGTTTTGTCATTTTTTCATGAGGAAAGAGCTTGAGGTGGAGGGCGGGCTGCTGTCCAAGCGACGTTACATCATAAACACCTTATTTATTTTAAAACATGTTTTATCATCACCATCAAAACTGTATACGCATAAGTAGTCATAGCCAGAATGTGCCCTGGCAATACATATACGGGCCAGTATTGTATCTTCTGCTTTTATGGATCTTGAAAGTGTCAACGCGTGTGCTAGTGCCGGGATCTTGCTTATCAGCCGATTTTTAGAGTAGAGTTGGTGGTGTGATGGCGGGGTTGTGAAGCTACCGCTTTATCGAGGTTATGATGTAAATGCATGTAAGAGGAACTTGTTGCCATCCAGCCTGGAGTTTTGGAGGCTGACATTCTGCATTATCTCAACCAGCCATTCTCGGGATACAGCAATCCGAATTCGAAATGCCTGGAATTCAGCTCGAGATCTTCAAGGTACGACTCTTCAACTCTCAACATAGCCACATTTCCTGACTTTGACCTCTCGGAGTAGTTCGGCGTCTGCCTCATGTTCCCAATTGGGTTCATGTATTATTTTGGAACGAACCTGGACAATCGCTTCAAGGTTAAGGATTTCTGGCCGAAGCCCGAAGAATGCAACAAGCTGCCTCAAGATAGAGAGGAGGTCGTTAAAGAGTACGAGCGAATCGTGGCACGGCAAAAGATTCGACAGGCTCTTCAAGAGGAGAGGCAGCGACAACAGGCGGAGCAAGCGCAAAAGAACGAGAGCTCTTGATTGTTTCGACAAATGTTTACCTATCGCACGACGGCCTGTGGGAGTAACAAAAATGGGAAAGGGAGTTAAACCCGAATTGTATTGTAGGATTGAATTGGCGCTATTGGCGAATATAGGACAAATGCATAGTTGGCGTTCAGCCTGCAAAAAAGCAGACTGAGGGAAAAAAAAGAAACTCAACTCAAATGGGTATTTTGGATGATATTTGTACGATAATGGGATTTGTTACAGCTATATGTCTATATGTCTCTCCAGCTTGTCCCAGTCATCGTCCGTGATCGTGCCTTGGCGAAAGTTGGCGAACAGAGCTCTGACCTCGGTATACTCGCGAAGACCAGACAGCAAGGTATTCAAACTTTCTACCAATTCGGCCGTATCGACGTCAGCCTGGGTGTCTTCATTCGCAGCCCACATTATCTCAGACTCGACAACCTCGAGCTCGAACCGTTTAGAGATGGCTTCCGTGATGGCCATGAGCTTGGATGGCTCAGTCCAGATCAAGAATCCACCATCCGGATGCTCTTCGACATCTTCAGTTCCGTCGTGCTCAATTGCTTCATCCAATACATCAGATAAAGAAGGGCCACCATCCCTAGGCTTAAATATGGCCCGTCCGCGTCTTGAGAAGTAGAATGCAGTGGAGCCCACAAGGCCGCCGGCCTTCTTGACGACAAGTTTGAGATCGTGCAAGCTACGCGTCTTGTTATCCGTCTCAATATCGGCAACCAAGGCGATATTAGGTGGCATGAGAATCTCTAGTGTCATGGGTTCAAGCTGTGCGCCTGTTGCAGAGCGACCTTGGCCTCTTGCGATGGCACCCTCAATTAGTGACTTGGGAACGCTCGCTAAAATTAAGCATTAGATGAACATGTTGCCTCGACAATATGGGGAGAATAATGAGTCTCATGATAAGAATAAGAAGGTACCTTTTGTTGCTGCTGCAACTGCATTTGCTAGCTGGGGGTTGAACTTGACGTCCTCGCCATACACTTTTTATCTACGTTAGACTGATCTTCCTGACACTTGGAGCTTGGTGCCACTAACTTTTAGAGTACATGGTGATGAGCTTTGTAAATGAAACACGATCAGACATTTTCTTTTTGTCTGTAACCGCCTTGATATGCTTCGTTTTGGACCATTTATTGTGCCCTGCGTTCTGAGACGCCGTCGTGCCAAATGAATGCAGACATGACGGGCATACAAGACCGCTTGAAGATGCGCGAGAAGGGATTGAAAGACGAGGCTTTCTCAGAAGCGAAAACGATCTTGCAGGGTTCATCGTAACGAGTTGCTAGTAGAAATCACTAGACAAAATAGTCCAAAAATTCTCTGCAGCTGACCCAGAGACTGAAACCAATCTTGTGTCTCCGTATTTTGAGACACCAATTCAAGATATTCGAGCTTCTAAGCTGCTAAGCTGGTACTATCGCATGTTCCTCCAAATGCGCCGGGTTAACGATCTTCCCTGGAGCTTGGGGCAGAGAGGCTGCCCATCCAGGGCCACCAGCGCCTGCTGATTGGCCATTGCACCACCGCTAGTGTCGATGCCCATCATCATACCAGTTGGAATGCTGGCCATCCATCCCCTATCAAAGAGTCCTGGACGACCATAGATAGCGAAGACCTGGTTACGACAACATAGAATTCGACGACCGAGGGCCCCTCTGACGACGCCGCATCCTGCCCGCCATGTCGTCGAGCCAGGAGCTCGAAGCTCCAGCCAGTGCGCCGAGCGTGCAGGCCAGCGCCGCCGCCGATCCAGTCACTGCCAACCCGGAGCTGGACCTCCCTAAGCTTCAAGCGCTCCCCGCTGAACAGCAAGATCTCTTCCTCCTCACGTTCGTTTCGAGCTTGAAGAAGCATGTATTGGGGCTTGTAGCAGACGATTGTACGGCCCAGCAGTTCTACCTGAAGCGCGAAATCTTCCAGATCATCAACCTGTCCACCCCGCAGCCGTCTCGGGTCATCAGAAACAACCTGGGAGCTTGTCTAGCCCACATCTTCGGCAAGGGCGACAGGAAGCTGCTATTCGAAACGATAAACGATCTAATAGCAATAACAGCGGGAGGAAAATCCAAGGATGGCGAGACTCGCGCAAAGCATGCGGCTGTTAGCTGCCTGGGAGACGTGTATGCCTCTGCGGGGGACAGTGCAATTGGACTCCACCAGCTGGCTTGCACAACGCTGCTGAAACTGCTCAGGTCGGCTTCGAATAACGCAGGAATAAGAGCAGCGGTGTTTACCGCTTTGGAGAAGATCATCATCATGGTTGAAGGATCCATGGACGAATACATTTCTCGGGATATCTGGAAGCAGGCAAGGAGCCATGCTTCCGTTGACAAGGGAACCCTCGTCGTTGCGTCTGCGTGTCGATGTCTTAAAGCCCTGGTGCGACACACCATGTACTTCCACAACTTGACCGACTTCGACAAGCTGGAGACGTCAATGTTCAAGGCTGCCGACTCGTCATCCGCCAAAGTTCGAAATGCCATGGCCAGCTGCTTTGCCGAGGCGCTGGTGCAAGGATATTCCGAGTCCAGCGCCGCAGACGCCGCCGCCAAGAATAAAAAGTCTAAACTCAAGCTTAAACGAGCATCCACCCACCCCAGCATCGCGGGAGATGAGGACGATGTTCCATCTCGCCCGTCAAGCCCAGCTCCTGGCGCCAAGCGGAGTCAAGACCTTGCTCTGTCGCTGCAAGATATTTTGAAAATCTTGGCTGGCTATTTTGTCAAGCCTGCAACCACCAACAAATCCCGAGCTGCTATCGGAGTGTGCTATGGTAAACTTTTCCGCCGACTCGGCGAGAAGACCGTGCAGGCCAATTATCTTGGTATAGTAGAAAGCTTGACTGTTGATATCCTCGGCCACGCAACCATTAGCAACAACCGCTATCGCTTGCTCATTTCGCGAAAGATCGTGGATACCATCATTCAGGATGTCATTGGGCGCAAGATCCTGGGGGAATCTGGCCAAAAAACCGCGGCAGAATTTCTCATCAGCGGCGTTTTGAAAAACTACCCTCAAGCTTTGGCTGAGAAACCAGAGCCTCAGAAGCACACCCTCATTGCTGCTTTGAATGCTGTTGCATCGCTATTAAAATCACTTGGATCTGCTGCAAACAGCTTCGCAGAGCCTTGCCGAGATGGGCTATTGCAAGTGCTACAACATCCCAGCTATTCTGTGCAAGTATTTGCGTCGAATTGCATGAAGACTTTTGTCCTCGCATGCCCTCAGCAGCTGCTGCCGTGTCTTTCGGTATGCATGAACAGCCTCAGCCGTGAACTGTCTCTCCTGGGGACTGGACGCAACTCCCCCAGGCGATGCATCGGATTCGCACATGGTCTAGCCGCCACTCTAAGCGCCAGCCCTTCTCGCCCACTACATGGCTCTCTTGATGTGGACAGTCGGGTTTTGACAATGGCTACAAACTTGCTCAAATCCAGCAGCCAGTCAGAGCTCCGTGTCTCGAGCACCCAAATCCAAGTTGCTTGGATTCTCATCGGCGGCCTTATGTCTTTGGGTCCAAATTTCGTCAAGATCCATTTGTCGCAGCTGCTCTTGCTTTGGAAGAATGCGCTGCCAAAGCCTCTAGCCAAGGACAATACCTCAGCCAGGAGCCTGCTCGAGGCATCATTTCTTACTCATGTGAGAGAGTGCGCTCTAGGCTCCATTCTAGCTTTCCTTCAGTTCAACAATCGGCTTCTCACGGTTGACGTTTCTAAACGTATAGCGGCAATGCTCCAGAGCACAACAGCCTTTTTAAAGACACTGCCATCAAAGAAGATAACTGAGGACATTTCGCAGAGACTTACTCCTGCTCTTCAATTACAAGACCTTGACAGGATGGTGCAGCGTAGAGTCTTGCAGTGTTATATCAAACTGGTGAACCTGAGCCCTGCGGGAGGAAGTGAAGCCCTGTTGCAGTCGAATTTGCTGACTCTTGCGATATCGCTATTTGCGGATCCCGACAACTACACGCCCAACTCTCTAAGTGCCTCGATTGCGAATGCTGCTGGCACCTTTGAGTCGGTTTGGGATGTTGGCGACAACACTGGCTTTGGAATAACCGGTATCGTATCAGGCTTCAATGTCAAGTCGCTCCCAGGCCAAAATGAGAACGCCATCCAGGAAGATAAAACTCGACAAAATGATTCAGAGGCTTTCATAGATAGTCTCTTGCAATCGCCGGTCTGCGGCAGTCTGGAGCATGATGCATCAATGCTCTATATCGGCGGCGTGGATGACGGATCTACAGACCCTGATCCCCCAGCCACCGAGGTCATCAACAGCGCCATTCAGCTGTTTGCTTTTGCATTTCCATTGACCCCGGCCAAGGTTCAAGAAAGTATTCTGGAGCAAATCAGAACATTTGCGTCGGCAGGTTCTCTCCAGCGAGACTCTGGGCGCAAAGCAGCCATCAATGTCAATCTTGCAACAGCAGTTCTCTGTACGATGAGGGTTGCCGTCAAAGAGACCAGCTCTCCATCCGGAGATATTGCTAATATCGCCGTCGAGCGGTTACTGCAGGATATCGTTCGAGATTTTGTTCTTGATCCCGACCAATATGTTCGGAGCCTTGGCTATGCTGCCGTTGCGAGACTATGCAACGTGTACGGCAACGCATTTACAAATCAAGAAATCAAATACCTTGTTGACACCATTGTCGGAAACCGAGAACCTAGTGCTAGAGCGGGTTGCGCAATGGCCCTGGGTGCTATCCAGACCAAGGTAGGTGGTATGGCTGCCGGCTACCATCTGAAAACTATTCTCGGTATCCTTATGTCGCTTTGCAATGATCCTCACCCTGTGGTTCATTACTGGGCCCTTGAAGCATTGTCACTGGCGTCAGACGCTGCTGGTCTAAGCTTTGCTACCTACGTGCCAAGCACTTTGGGTATGCTCGCACAGCTCTACGTTTCGGAGACACATCATTCTGAGATATCCTCGGCCATTACGATGAACTTTGAAATGGAACTCTCGACAACAGCAGCCGTTGCACGAAGTGTCGACTCGCTTATCAATGTGCTTGGGCCTGATCTTCAAGATGCTAACAAGTCGCGAGAGCTCATCTTTACGCTGGTTGGGCAGTTCCAGGACGAAGAAGATGTGTTCGTTGAGAGAGCTGCACTGGGCTGCTTGGAACATCTATCCTTGTATGCCCCTGGGCAGATGCATTTTGGCGATTACGTCAAAGTCTTGCAGAAATATCTCTCGTCCGAGCACGCAACTCTACGCGACGTGGCTGTAGATGGACTTTATAACATCATGAAGCGAGACCCGCGAGATGTTCTAAGAGAAGCGGACAAAGGCTACGAAGACCAACTGTGGCTGGTACTTGACGCTGACCCATCTCATGATGGCATCCGAAATATCATCCGCAACTGGTTGCATCAGACATGCCTGAATGAGACTTTCTTGTGGCTTCAGCGTTTCCAGTCCGTTTTGAAGATGACAAGAGCCAAGCCAGAGGAAGGTAAAAACGTAAATAAGTCTACGATGGGCGGACTACCTGATCTACAGGACGAGGAAGCCGCAGGATTTGCAGCCGCTTCGACGGGTGCAAAGGAGGACAAGGCCGACGCAGCGTCAGAAGCAGAACCTCTGCGCTGGCAAGTAACGACGTTTGCGATGAGCTGTATATATGACATGTTTGCTATTATTGCAAAGGACGTGGCAACACACGGCGAGTCGAAAGCTCAGCTTGCGCTGCAGAATAAGATTGCTGATGTTGTGCGCATGGCCTTTTCTGCGTCGACATCAGGTGTATTGGAGCTACGCATCTGGGGTCTCAAGATCATCGGCGTAGTCCTCAAGATGTTTGGCAAGACACCTGACCCTGACTTCGAAGAGGCCATGCTCTTGGAGCAGTATCAAGCACAAATCAGCTCGGCATTAACCCCGGCATTTGCGGCGGATTCATCCCCCGAGCTCGCTTCAGAGGCGGTCAATGTCTGCGCAAGCTTCATCTCAATTGGCATTGTCACCGATGTCGACCGAATGGGGCGTATCTTGAAGACTCTTGTGAATGCTCTAGAGAACTTCTCCAGTGATAACGAGAATGCAGGAATTGGCGACCTGAAGGGTCTCAGCTCCAATGCACAAGTTATGGTCAAGATATCTGTATTTTCAGCCTGGGCCGAGCTGCAAGTAGCCAGCACGGAGCAGAAGTATCTACTAGATGTTCTCAAGCCGCATATTGGGAAACTAACACCTCTCTGGCTTGAGGCACTCCGAGAGTTTGCACGACTTCGGTTCGAGCCGGATATCTCAATGACGCTAGGACCCCCTTCTCTGTCGGGCAGCTTAGACACAATTTACGCGGCTTTGAACCGCGAGACCTTGCTTCGCTTCTACCAAGACGCATGGCTCAAGCTGGTTGATGCGATTGCGAGTCTGATTGAACAAGACAGCGAATTTGTCTTTGACGCCCTAGACGGCAAAGAGCTAAGCGAGACATCTCCCAATGGACATGCAAAAGTTCCGGGCATTAACTACCGAGACGAACCGGTGGCCTTCTTCTTCGTGCTCTTCGGTCTTGCTTTTGAGGCCTTGGCGACTCGGCCCGGCCAAGACAACTCCCTGGCTACGCAGGAGCAGATGCTGGCCATCTTGCAAGCCCTGAAGAAGATTCTACACCCCAGCGTGACTGGTCACGCAATCTATCGGCCTGATGTATTTTCCGAGACAATGGACCTTCTCGATCGTCTGGTGCTGACAGAAGGGTTGGATGTCCAGAGTGTCATTGTCGAAATTGCCAGAGATTTGTGTGTTACGCACCCTTCCGCTCGAAGACAGTCGGATGATGATGGCGACCTGTCTGAAGATATTGACCAATTATTCGAACTGACCCGAATCATCGTCCTTGTCCTATCCGGCATTCTACCAGGTCTATCTGAGGGCAATGCGCCGGCACGGCATCAGATCAACGGAGAGGCTATTCTGTTGATTAGAACCGCGCTCAATGCCATTGTAGATGCTGCGGAAGTGTTCCCGTCCATCATCAAAACGGACTTGCACGCCTGTATCATTCACATTTTTGCGACGATTCTCGCTACGCCAGAGTGTCAGGAGCTGATTGTACCACAGTCGCTCGCTATACTGAAACGATTTATTGCCAGCATGTCCAAGTCGAGGAGAAACTCGGCCAATGGACCATCAGCGACCGACATCCAGCTGCAAGGGTGCCTCCGGCGCTTCCTGTCCATCTACCTCAACGCGCAGAAGCGGGAGACGCCGACGTCTCTGACCTCTGTGAAGAACAGCCTACTTGCCACCACTATCCTGTTTACAAGTGGCACGAATCAATTGCCTGCCACCGAACCCCTTGTCGCACGCTATCTAGATGAGGTCCTAGACTGCCTCACAGATCGAATGGTATGTTTTATCTAGCCCCACCCGAACTCGACTCTCCTACTCTCCCCCCTCCCTACCTTTATGCCAGCGTACTGACTCTTTTCTCCTTGCCATTGTTTCAAAAGACGGCCAAAATAGCAGCCAATTGTATACGATCGTTGTTGCTGCAAGGAGCGCCCTCTGCGGCAGATGTCAGCATTGCTCGCTACCTCTTCCCACGACTCATTGCTTTTGTGACAGACGTGGGGCCTGAAGATCCTGAATTGGCTCGATCACTCGTCAGTCACACACTATGCTTATACGTAAGATCAGTTAAGCCTGATCGAGTGGCACCTGCGATGGCAATGGTCATTCCGGCTCTCATGGCCAGAGCGACAGGAGAGGGCGAAGGGGTCTATTCAGAGACAAGCACACGCCTCCTAGAGCTGGCAGCGGTGAATCAAGAGGTGTTCAAAGCTATTGTTGGAGGCCTAAGCGGTGGTCAGCGGGCGTTCCTCGAGGAAGTAATCCGGTCGGGTCGGCCAGCGGCCGGTGCTGCAGACAAGACGCTTTCCAGCGAGACTTCGCAGCCAACCATTCAGTTGAAGATGAATTTTGGCGGTTAGATGGAGAATTTGAGTCGTGTCAAGAGGAAAGCTCCAATCAACAGCTGATTAATAAAGACACGCCAAGAGAGAGAAATTCCGGTTAGGGCAAAAAGGGTTAAAGAGTTTTGTTGTCTCATGCAGGCGCTCATTGGCGATATGAGTAAGGGGCAAGATGGCATACTGGAGTTTTGTATGGTTCAATGCGCAGGTAGAATGGACACACATGTCATGTAGACCAAATGATGATGGTGATGATTGTTTTTATTGCCTTTTTCAGGATGGCATCTGTCTGCTCGACGCCCAAGTGTTACCTCAATGATCCCGAAACAAGCCGACAAGTCGGATGAAGCAAGCAGTGCTCCTTTGTCCTTATCATCTGTGTTCCCACCTCTCATCGGCATCGCCTAGTGGGTAGTTCCCTTGAGAGGCAGATGGACTGAATGACGGCTGCTGAAAGGATGCAGCAAACGGGAATGTGAGAGCTGCATATGGTCCACTGCGGCATCGTCTCAGCCAACGAGATGGGGGGATTCGTCTCAAGCTGCATACGTGCTTGCTTCTGCCCCTCTGTACATGAACCAATCCCACATCGCATTGGCCGGATATACGCAACATCCTACATACTCAGCCGGCTGCAGGAAACCAGCTGCCAAGTGGTGGGAACTCTCCTTGCATTTTTGATTCCCCCGCCTCGGTCTTAAAGCCGAGGGAAGAGTTACCCCAAAAAAGGGAGGCTCGCGTACATGCACGTTTTATGATGAGGGAATAGACAGCTACTACTACTGTTTGTGTATGCCCTTCTGCAGACGTCAGGCCGGCTGGCTGAGAGCTGACGAGGCTGCGACAACGATGACGATACGACGATACATGCAATATTCATGCATAAACTCGGTGCTTTTACTCCAACTCGTCCCTTATATATATGGCACGTAGCGCGTATACATGAACCAGTTATGCATGACGTTTTTGATGATTATGACGATGCAGTCTGTGGGGGTGTTAACGGACGGCCCGCGGTGGCATTCTACGTGGCAAGCTGAGCTTTGCTCATCCTGCTTTTCCCCCTTTCTCACAATGATGGAGGGTGCGGGCGCGGGGGAAGCGCTGCAGATTTTTAGATGAATTGTGATATATCATTGGTAAAGGTGCTTGATATAGCGTGCGGCACTTTTTTTTTTTCTTGCGTCTTGGAGGGTGTCTATTTGTTTCTTGTGTTTCCGTCACTTTCATGCTTTGGGGGGGGGGGGGGGGGGGGGGGGGTGATGACTCCGTGATCTTGCTTTGTTGTTTGATCGTGTGTCTGCTATTTACTGGTTGATTTTGCTTTGGGCTTAGGAGGTCCACAGGACGACGTGGTCGGATATCTGATGCATACATGTACTCTGTATATACTATTACTAGATCATCGTGGCAATACACGTTTGGAGATTTCTGCCAAAGGCGTCCATCTATCATGGTACATGGTTGCGTTGTATGTCGATTAAAGACTTGGACGAGCGATTTAGCCATTTCAACCAAGTGGATTTCGGCTGTCATTGCTTTGGTATCATGGCTTTGTGATTTACAACAATTGTGGGTTACAGCACTCCCATCCTGGAGCTGAGAGCAAAGCCTCCGCCTCCATTCTAAGCTTCATTCTCCCCAGAGCGGAGAATTAGATGTGGCAAGTTTCTCCAGAGGGAAAAAAGAAATAAGTAGCCCAGCTTTTTTGCTAACAGACAAGGTGTGGCGGTGGCTTGCGAGATGGGCACCAAAGCTTGGGGAGCGGGAGCTACGAAGGGGTAGCAAACAGACCGTTGGCTGGTTGATGCTTTGGCTTTGTGGGAGAAGAGCTATGGCTACTTGGTTTGACGCTTAAGGGGCGTGTGCAGCTGCATTGGCATTGTTGTGGTGGCACAGTCAGATATCGTAAAAGCCCATGGCGTTAAGCTTGCGGTTGGCGTTTTTTCTGCTTTGTTTACTTGTCTCCTTTTTTGTTGAGGAGGTGTTGTCAATTGGGGATAGTAAGAAAGTTTGTTTGTGATGGCGTGGATATTAAGGTTTTTTGGCGTTGTGGCAAGACGAAAGAGAGAAAAGGGGGGTTTAGGGGACTGAAGGTCTGGAATACGCCATGGCGCTGAGTTTTGGAGGCTTTTTCCTGTTTGAAGGGGATAGATGCTAGGGGAATTTGGAATGTAGATCTGCTAGATCGTACTTTTAGGGCTTAGAGAGAGAGGCTTTCTCAAAGTGCCGGTGTAAGTCACGTTGAGGCTCGGCCAACTTTAAGACGAGACGGCAGATGTAGCACCTTTGACTTGAGATACAGTTGAGTGGATCTCGCATGAATTGGGTAAACACTGATGGACGGGTTAAGCTCAATTGGAATTGTTGGCCAATTGGCTAAATTGAAAGTGCTGTAGCACAAGACTCAGTTTATGCATGTAGTTTTAGCACGATTGTCCAAGAGCTCCTATAACGGAGTGCCTAAGCTCGTCTGTTATGGAGCAAACTTGCAGTAACACGCTCGTTTCAAACAAAGTCTGTCAAGCAAAAATCATGCACCCCCTCCCTCCCCTCTAATCTTGCAGGATCAATTAACATATGACATGCTAGGTAGGTAACAAACTCCACGGAAAACATGTCACGGATGCAAAGCAGACCAAGTTTGCAAGGGTTTTCGGAAACAAAAGGCGAGAAATGTCAAAGAACTCCATCCGCAGAGCACAGCTTTGAAACAAAAGAGCCAGGGACCCTGAGAGGAGAGAACGAATCGGAAGAGCGCCTAAACTCGGAAGAGCCGGTCGCGCCCGGCTCACACCACCGATCGTAAGATTATCAGGGATCTGCGGCAGATGGAAGGCGGGAAGGAAGGAAATAGAGAGGACAGAACGAAAATCTAGAGCAAAGTTTGTTATTGCGAGTGCCGAGTAGGGCTGGTCCCCTGGGAAGAAAGAGGCGCATGTTTGATTTGATTTCTTATGCTCAACTGATTCTGTGGTGCCAGAGACGGGAGATGACGGAAGAGATGACCCGGAAGGCGATGGACACGGCAATGGAGAATTTCAAATAATGTTCTTTTTGCTAATATCTTACATAATGTCCATGTCATATTCCTAGTGATACTTATGGGAAGATCTGCTTAGGGCTGTGGTGGCAACGGGACGACAGCCGATGGACGATCAATGTTCTATTGCAGTAAAGACAGCTTCAATTAGAAAGTTTGCCACGCCCAACAGCTTTGCACAGCGACAGCCGAACCGCGGAGGCGGCAGAGGCCGCGCCACGAAAAGTCTTTGCGCTCAACCTTGATTTGCTACCAGAGGGGTGTTTATGGCGTCGACTAACATATTTGGCGACAGCCTCAATGGCGTTGGTAGCGAGAAGAGGCACAACCAGCCCCAAGACGGAGTATTGTGAGCGCCCAGTTACGGAGTATTACAATCTGGCTAAGAGGCGTATGGTTAAAACTGCTGTTGGCTTGATTAGCTGATCCCGAAGACAAGGCACCGGAAAGAAGGAGAATTAACAACGTCCAGTGTCCAACACGGATCCGAGATTGCCCTCTGCCGATGTGCTGCATCGACGATTGAAGAATAGCACGACAAAGAGGGAAATTACGGTTCTTGGTCAATGCCATTGGGGGGAAACACATCATGGAACCACAAATTTGCCACATCATACGACAAAGGAGCCATAAACAGCATCCACAGTTCTTTTTTTTTTTTTTTTTGGTGCAAGGGGCGAATATGGCGAAAAAGTGGATTATGGCAGCGAGCCGCAGCACCACAATTCGGGGTGTGTTTTATCTCGTCGAAAGAAACTCAATGCACGTGGGTGAAAAAAAGAGACAAAGGAGTAGAAGATGGTTTATGGATTATGGATAGCAATTGAGGGTTCACGATGGGTCAGGACATGAATTGCTCGCTTGTTTAATATTTCCTTCTTTTTTTAACCCCCACCGAATACGGAACTGCTAGCATTAGAAAGAAAGAGAAGCGAGAAGAGAAAATTTTCACAGACGGCCATGCACGCACTTGTCTCACATCATGTCGCAACTTGTTGGCAACGCATCGACAGAAATCTCACTCAGGCAGTCAGCCCTGGATCGAGATTCATGTCGATCCGCTTGTCAGCCCAGCTCAGCCCAGCTTAGGGGCTAAAAGCAAAGGAGTAGGGGAAATAAGAAGAGAATTTTTTTTTTTTTTTCCCTACTCCTTTGTTAGCGTCGGGGAGAGCTTTCTCCAGCTTTGGGCTTGGTGTAGCAATTAGACCATGGCACTATCTTCCCCTAACGCCCTGCTAAGAAAAAAAAAGTTGGGAAACAGTCCATGGGGGTTCACATTCCGCATAGCTCAGCTGCGGCTGGTAGTGCGGTAGAGGAGAGTTGATTGCCATTCAAGGGACGGGATAGGAGGCACGTGTGGTGGTTTGAAAGTCAAGAGTCAACAGAAGTCAGCAATGGCAGTCAGTACCCAGTATTGTGGCAGCAAAAGTGCCAATCGACGTCATGCCAACTCCATGTACCTCTATGCCCCGACCAGCTATCTCATACATACCAGATAATAGTGCAATGCAATTCCTGTACATCATGGCCAACGGATTCACCGTGGTTGAATCAGACAGAGATAGGGAGAGATAAACCCCCTGGAGAAGAAGAAAAAAGACACCCTCCCCGTCACATCGCAATGCTGGCAACTGCAAATCTTTGAATCTCCAGTCCAGTCCATTCCGGGCTCCCCATAGTGGCCCTGTATCCACTTCCCGGCCAGCCGCAGCAGGAAGACGCTTCCGGACGGTGATGGAGCCAGACACGAACAAAGACAGACAGCAGGTGTCCAGGGGTTGCTGTATTTTGCAGGCAATAGTGCTTTTGTTCGTGGGGCCGACGTGCGCCGATGCCGATGAGTTGGCAGCCTGCTACAGTATGTGCTGTGCTCTTCCAACATGTCTTGCATGAGGATGGGAGAAAATTTTTCATTCGTATCTTGTCTTTAGAGTTTCTGATGCTGATGCGATGCATGTTACCGTGCAATTCCATTACGTACACGGAGAGGGAATGCTGAGTTCACACAGTATTTTCATGGTGCCTGTAACGTTGAGTTTGTGTTTTCAACAAACTGAGACACAGCTGCTACCTTGACACTGCCGGCAGGACTCCTTTCATAAGACTTGTGCCCATCGAAACTAGGTCCATGTCGCCGGCAATGCGACGCTGTGGCTCTTGCGATGCTACGGCAGATACGCTCTGGGCCTGTAATCGACATTGGATGCAACAGCGCATTGGCATCCAGCCTCCCTTGCCTGGTTTCTCTTTGGGCAGCCAGAGTCGGTCCGCAGGCGTCCAAGATCTGATGGGCTGCCTGATGATTGTCGCTTCTGCACAAGTTGCAAGCATCTTACTGTACTATAACTCATCCCCCTAGCCTGACCAGTCCAAAACAAAGGAAAGCCACTCCGGCAAAAGGTCTCTTTGCATGACCACCGCAGCTGCAACAGGGGCACACACAGACCACTTGACGCGGCCAAATGAACTGGCTGGATTTGGTATCATCATTATTATTAGCAGCAGATGGTTGGATTAGTATGCAGGCTGTATTATTATCTAGAGCACACCTCATATGTACGAGTACGAGGAACGAAGAGAGAGGGAAAAGGCGTCTGAAACACCGACTGCACCCCCATTTTGCCTTGCCTCGCCTTGCCTGCCTTGCTGCATCGGCCATGTCCGTCCCGCTCTCATTCGAGACACAAAAGAAAAAAAGAAGAGGCAAGAGAACGACTCAATTGAACTGAAAAAAATCAGATTTCGTCACCGAACCGTGCTCGTTGTATGTGCACAGACAGCCAAGGTCCATGTATACCTTAGTACTGAATGACGCATCTACAGTTCCCATTAGTACTGCTGTCCTACCTGTCCTTGTATAAAACCAAGATGCACATTAAAGGAAGAACAGGGACAACGCAGGCCAATTGAGCTAGAGCAAACGCTAGAATAAGAGAGAAGTAGTACGACAAGAAAAAGATGATTTTTATATTTAGCAAAAGAAAATTCAGGATTTCTGCAGGCTATTCCTTCAAGGATGATGGTAATTTATTGCTATTTTGCCACTCACACCAGGCAAGAGCACCAACACCCTCATCCGGGCAAAAACACCAACCATCTCACGCCCCCCAATGTAGCTCCTCTCCCTAGAAAAGCAGCAAAGATAAAAAAAAATCACAAATGTTAAATAAAAATAAATTCAAGTCCCGATTCACATCCCCGCCATACTAGGTATCAAGACGCTCAAGTCCCCGCCGGTCAGGCACGGCTACCGTAGGCAGTGGCCCATCCGCCCGTATCCTCTTTGCCGCCGATCCATACTACAGGCGACTAACTCTCTCCCTTTGTTCATCTGGCCATCGTCGATCTGGGACGCAATCGAGAAAAAAGTTTTAAAAAAAACCGAGGCCAAATGACACCAACATTGGGCTGCAATTTTTTTTTCCTCCTAGTGTTTTCGATTTGCCCATGATGATTGATGCCTCTGAAAGCCTCATGTTCCACTTAGTACCTTGCATCAAGGGCAGCGCAGCAAAGTGACTTTAATGCTACTACCGTAACCACCAATTGCCCACCGTTGTGTAATGAAAGTCAAAGTACAAGACCCTTTTTTTTCCTTTTTTTAGTGTAACACAGCATAGCACTACGGCCTACCCACTTTGCTTCATTCTGGATATGCATTGCGTATATGAGTTTTGCCAAAGAATACGGCTAGGCAAGGCGAATAGGTAATACTAGCCTGCACAGCAGAAATTCGGCCATGGCCCGCGTCCATGTCGTGATTCAGGCCAGTCACAGCGCTTTGGGCCCCATTGGCCGTCATCCCATCCTAGCCGTCTCTTCTTATGCGTACACACTTTAGTGCTCGCTCACATACCGCAAAGTCTATCCGATGTCGCAGTCTGACTGCTCACCAGCGACTTTCGCCACCGGCAGCTGGGCCAGGGCCCGGGCCAGATTCACCCAGTCCAGTCCAATCCAAGGCGCCAATTGCATCACGTACGAGACAGGAAAAGATGGTGTTTTGACCAAAGTCTTAGACAGGGTTGTCCTATTCATTGATGATGCAAAGCATGTTTAGCTAGAGCTATCCAATTCCTAAACCCATCCCCATCACTGGCCTCGTTTACGGCCATTCATAGTTTCCTATTTTTCCTCTCCCTCCTCTTGGTCCTTTTTTTTTCCAAAGCAAGTAAAATCCCATAGACGGGGCGGCTTTGCAGCACGCCGACTGCCTTAATCTGCGCCATCATTCTTGATATGATCCTGAAATCTTGGTCTGCGCCGCTGATCATGTCCCAAATATCGTTATGTGTTTCCACCCAGCACCCAAATGTGTTTCCCTCTGTGCCATGCTATCAATAAATCAAGTGTGATATCAAGTCTTCCGCCCATTCTTTGTGGTGTATTGTGGTATACAGATGCCCGCAGTGGGATCCCATTGATAGTCCAAAATCAATCCGTGATAAAACTCCGTAGACAAAAGAAAAGATAAAAAAGAGGTCGATGTGGAGAAGACAGTGCGCTCAATTAAATAAACAAAGAGGCAAAAAAGTGCTTTTGGGGATATGCGGTGCTCCATGTAATGTCCCGTCTTGATACAGCTGAAGGAAACAACCCAAGGAAATGAAAAAAGTGTTTGTTAAACAAGAAAAGAAGTGCAAAAGCAAAGTTGGTTTCGTTGTGTCATTCCATATTGTGTTTGTATGAGTTGAGTTGCGTAATGGTGGATGTTGTGTGTATGTGTGTTTGGGTATATATGTATGAGTCGGTGATTATTTAGTATGATCGCCTGCGTTGCAGCCTGACCTGCTCGAATGAAACGGCGTATGCTCGCAGTTCCATGCGTGCCTTGTCTGACAGTTGGCTGGCTTCGGCGGTGGATGATACGCTCTCCATGGAGCAGAGGCTGCTGTGTGAGCTCGAGGGAGTGAGGCTTCGTGCGGACAGAGGCGACGTCTCCGAGCTGTAGCTGCCAAAGGAGGAGGATGGCTGCGGTGTTGAGCCGTAGGGCCGTGCCTGGTTGAAGTCGTAGGCGGGCGGCAGGTAGAACTTGGCGGGAGCAGGTCGGCTGGAGAAGGAAGAGGCGGGCGAGAAGCCTGGTGAGCTGGCTCGCGAGCTGGGAGTAGAAGAAGGAGTCTTTTCGAAGTCGGCCATCTTGCAGGCTTCAGAGCAGTAGGCCTCGCCGTCGATCTGGACTTGTCGGTCGCAGGAGAGGCAGAATTCGTGGGTCCACATGTCGAGGGACATTGTGATGGTTTGTGTGTTGGTGTTGATGGTGGGGGAGGAGTCACAGTTGTATGTGAGTCGAGATAAGTTGAGAGTAGTAGAGAGTGGATGAAGAGTGGTTATTATAACAAGTAGTAGTCGAAAGCCTTTGCAATGTGTTCAAGGAGAGAGCAAAGGTCGGAGAAGAAGTTGAAGTTGACAAGAAGCAGTGGAGAGGATCTGATGAAGCGAGGAGGGCAACGGGATGCATATGTACTTTCTGGGGATGGAGGGCCTCAGACGGGCAGAGGTACCTTCGTACCAGTGGTGTGTGCGTGGGCAGGCAAGTGGTGTGGACGAGGATGAGAGGGCGGTGGAAAGTGGGCAGTGGTCAGTGGGCAGTTGGTGGGGAAGGATACATGAGACGAGGTACCGGCGGTGGGCGTGGCGTTAGCAGAGCAGCAGCAGTTAGCGGCAAGCGCAGGGGCCCCACCAGCCCCAAAAAGCTGAAAGAGATGGGAAGATGGAAAGAAGGCAGGAAATTGAGTGCGAATGGCTCTTGCAGAACAAGGTCAAAGATAGGATTATGACAGACAGCCGCTATTGAAGTGTCTGCACGCCCCCCTATGCAGCTGGCGACGGTGACAGCAATTATTTCTTGAAATAGTAGCAGATTGAGTGCAGATGAATATAGGTGCTGCTGCCTCACGTATACAGTACTAGACCTGCAGGGCCCGCCGTACCTGCCTGGCCAACTTTTGGAGGGAGGGTACCTACTTTACTTACGTATCTCCTACGTACATCGTAGGCACGGCTCTTTGTGCATCATCTGCTGCTCGTACGAAGCACCGGCTCAGGAGCCTGCACCAGCGTCGCATCCAGCCTAGCGCACAGCGGTCCATTGCCCTGTACGCGGTGGGGCCCTCAAGATTGAAAGGGAGTGCGCGAAACGCTCAGCACTCGAGCACGAGCATGCGGGGCCCTTGCCTTGGGGGTGTGTCATGGCCTGGCCTTTCTCTTGTCTTGTCTTGGGCTTGGGTTGGCCATTTCATCTTCATATCTGCTGCTGCAGGGCATGGGCGGCGGGGCTCCAGGAGATGCGTGATACCCAGCAATATTATGCTCGACGGGGGGGCGTGTTCCAACGGGCGAGGACATGCCATGCGAGATGGTGGTGGCTGAATTTTTTTTTTCTGTCCTCGCGCACCGCCTGGGTGTGGCTTGTCTCGCTCTTGTCCTTGTCCTGCATACCTTCAAGGCTTGTGCTCTGCCAGAAAATTTTTATGCTGCCTGCTAGCCGGCACAAGGTTTTTTGCGCAGCTTCGCTCTAGGCGGCCGGGCAGGTCCGTCGACAGCCTGGGCCAGCCGTGGCGCCCTCTAGAGAAGGGCGTTCGCAGCTCTAATTGAAATTCAAAATCAGCAGAAAATCAAATCATTCCACAGCCCAGCTGCGACAGCCGTAGCGGCAGGCCTAAATTGCGCCAGAACCTTAGGGCATTGCGGGAGTGGTCCCCCAGAATTTGATTTTCCTTGGGTGGTTCATTTTTTTTTTTTTCTTCCTCTTGGCGCTGGTTTCGCTAGCTCCAGCCTGCTACGCGCCACAACATTCGACCATGATGCGATGCCGTGCCTGGGCGAGGTGACTCAAGAGAGCCGGCCGGAGTCGGGGCGCTCGCTTGTGGGCAGATTGGCTCTCACCAACATGGTGGGCTGTTTTTTGCCCCTTGGGCAGCAGACATGGGGGATGGACGACGCGGAGCAAGAAAGAGCACGATTGAAGAAAAACTTTTCGACCGCACGGATTATCGTGTTGCATGGAGGCCAATCTCTGCCAAGTATGGTGACGGAAGCTCAATGCCCCAGGGGTGCCATCTGTGTCACCGGGGCAGACAAACGCTGTGTCGCTGGATGAAGCGTTGTGTGAGCGCAAATGGGCCATTACGTTCAACTACGGGGAGAGAGCGCCAGACGGGGCCAATGAGCCCGTCTCCCAGGCTGCCCCTCCTTGTGTGCCACCGTCGACCCCTCTGTATCGCCCGCTGGAAACTGCTCCCAGGCCCTTCTGGCCCTCCTGCACAGCGCTGGAAACAGAAGGGGCTACAGACGCTGTGCGACGCAGCCTGAGTCGTCAACAAACTCAATTGCATGCATGTCACTGTGGTTGTGCAACAAGACTAAAGCGCGTGTAAGACGAGCAGACAAGCATCTAAGTTTGTAAGAGAAAAAAGAAAAAAAAAAAAAAAAAAAAAAAAAAACAGAAAAAAAAAATTCGCATTGGCCATCAAAAAGAAAACTTGTGGAAATCCCATGGAACGCAGATTTTCTTCATCAATTGGCTTGGGACACATGGCAGACACCTCAAGTAAGGGATCATCAGACGAAAGTACCAGAGCAGCCATGATCAGCCAGCCAATGCTTCCAAGAGGCCCTTTGTGCAGGGCATCTTCCGAGACCGAACCCCCCTCCCTCGAGTTTGCTCCCAAGCCCAATCCAATTCCCCTTTTCGCCCAAAGACGCCCTCAACGGCGAGCGCTCTTACTTGTACAAGAGCTGAGAGCAAGGACTGCAGCCCAAGATGATCTTCCTCGACCCCTGGAAGCTTCTATGGGGGAAATGAGATGCGACGCAAGCGTGCTTGGTGCCTTAGGCCAAAAAATGACAGCATTGCAGCGGGAGCGAAGTTGAAGCGGGTCCTGGTGCTGGATTACGCAACTGTAGCAGGGCCCTTGATGGGGGAGCTAGGCGGCATCTGGCTAGTCGCCCGCATTCTTGTGCTCCATCGATCATCCCCCCTTTGACTAAACTCCTATTGATACAGGATATCGACGTTATACAAGAGTATCGTCGAAATGCCAGCCAAAGTGATGTACGGTGATATACGGTGATATACCATCTACGTGCTACATGCCTGCCCATCGCACGCAACGGCGCATTCCTCTCAAGGCAGTACCGGGAGCTGATCAGAGCTGATCCATCATCGAAAAGTCGCTCGTCTGTCGTATTTCGCATCTTCTGAGAGCTCCAAAACCGCCGTCATGTGGACTTTTTTGTGGTAATGGCCCCTTTGCTCTTTTTTTTTGTCCCAGCAAAAAGAACGCAGCGGGTGACACCACAACGGGTGATCGCACACACATGTGCGATACGGAGCAATGTAGGAGGGGGACCAGCTGTCGATACAAGTGATGATGGTGTCTCCTTAGTCATGGCACAGCGACGCTTCGTTCATGTTGATAGCGCTATCCTGGCTGGCGAGCTGCACAAGCTACAATATGCGGAATGGTGCCATTGGATTTTGGCGCAAGGACGGAATGGCGCCAGGATCGTGATCATCCAAGACTGCCGTCAAAATGAACAGAAAGACGGACACATAAAGGCCACACCACATTAGGTGCAGATTCCACTGCAAAGTATGGATGGACTACGGTACCAGCTCTCAGATCGTCGCACGGCATCTGCTGGGCTCATACGTGCCACAGCCCTCGAACAAGTTACGCCTGGGATGCTCCGGATATTACCACTGTCTATCTGCTCCATACCGCAACGACCAGCGGCTGAGTGGGTAGCATTCGCTAGTGATAGTGCACGATACAGGTGCTATCAAACTGCTGCTACTAGCTGCTGTAGTATTGCTACCTCGCACATACAGTAGATATTGCTGCTACTGCACAGCTTGGCTTCGTGTTGCTGCCCTTCAGTCCTCGGACATGACCGCCCCAACGGCTCACGCGGATGCCTTCGACGCACCCTCTTCCGGAAGCTGTTCTTTTGTCACAGCAGCCGCCGTGGCTCAAACAGGCAGAGAGGCGAAGAAGAAAAAAGAGGCCGCGGATGAAAAGCACCATCTTCGAGGTTCGTAGCGTAGGACTCAGTTGGGGACTAGGACACCAGTCAACCTTTTCTCTTCCCCCTTGTTGATGCAGTACGACGCCCAGACTACTGTGTGCACCTAGCCGACATCTACCTGAGGCGGCGCACTTGGATCATGATGCTTATTGGCCATGGCCAGCCATGGCGAGGCGGCAGTACGGTGATCATCCTCTCAGATCTGCCTCGATAGGGCGACTATCAACACTAGCGAGGCCTTGGCCGCTCCTTTCTCCAAGGATGGAGGACGCCAGCCGTCTCTCCAATGCCTTTCGGCTGCGATATTGATGCTACTGGTACTGCAGCGTTTTGTGCTAGCAGCTGGCTGCATCGACACAATCGCCTGCAAAGGCCGTTGGTGAGGAGTATGGAGCAAGGCCATGTGGTCCAGCCTGGGCTGCTATCAAGGGACAGTGTGGGGACGATGGGAGAACTATGCCATTTCGGATTTCACTTGCATCCGGGGGGCTTGGGCCTGCACCGGATTGGTGCATGGCGGCCGCTGCTAAGAGGACAAGGGGACCATGATTAGCCGCTGGCAGCCAACATCACCACCATTGCTCTGCCTGCCCACCACCGCTGCCACCACCCAGGCAGATTTCGAACTCACGGTCCGTCATTATTTGCCTCCTCAGTGTTTCCAGCGCTGCTACACAAGGCGAGAGAGATGAACGACGACGCACTAGGCTGCTTGGCGAGCGTTGGAGAAAGCGCCCTAAGGGGTCCATCCCTCTCCGCATCACCTGATAAGGTGAATGGCTGTCTGTCCGGCCATGGTAGCCCAAGGAACCTGCTTTTAGCTCGAGAATTTTGCATGCGAGGCCCGCAGAGGACGCAACTGCAGATGCGCGCTCCAAAGCTGCTTGTCGCAAAGCTCGAGGATTAGTGCAGGAGTACTTGCAGCGGGGACCACATACCTCACCTTGCTGTATACAAACAAGTCCTGCTGATGATCATCAAATCAAACTTGCTCGCCGCATCTCCCGAGTCGTCGGCAGCCGTGAAGGGAAATTATCAGGGAATCTCCGGATCACCCAGATCGGTGCTAGTCGTTGTAGTGCCAATAGAAGCAATACGATGCTTTCCTAGCCGACTTTATTAGTCCATCGCCTGTGGACAAGTCATCGGTGGACACATGGCTTCCTTTCTACTTCTACATTTCTACTCAATGGGTAACTATCCGTCAACAAACGGGTCCCTGTGAATTTACGTGGCAGGTGGATCAAGAGGCCCAGACCAAGAGGGCCCTCGCTTACAAGCAAGGTACCCTCTTGCGACTGCGTGCGTGCATTTCATTTGGCATGCCGTGGCAGGTTCCCCGGGGCTTGATGTGGAGAGCTTCCTGCGGGCTGCGGACGCTAGCTTTCCATATTGTACAGTACGGCTTTGCAATTAGGGGATTTCTTTTCTCTTTCGTTTCTTGGGGAAGTGGTCCCCTTGGCGCTCGGTAAAGATAATGGGGGCTTTTCTGGAGCATTGCAGAGAACTTGCAGGACGCAGTCGCATTCCGTGGCCCGCGCGAACTGGCTTGGAGGCAGTCAGTGTACAAGTATGTAGGTACTACTAGTGCTCCATGCTACTCGTGCTTTAGAGGCATCGTCATGCTGGCAGGCAGACAGGCGGCCTGGTTGATGTGAGACGATCTACATACTGCTACACCAAGGGACCTCGCAGATAGGTACTGGTGTGAAGTAGGTGGCTGGCTGCCTTGCACGGGAGCATGGCGGCCGCGAACCTTTTGCGTCCAATGACGACGATGGCTTCGTGTTGCGAGACAACCACTACCTCTGAGAAATGCTCCGTGAGGGGTCGTCCGTCAGGCTGTCGCGGGTATCAAGAAAAAGAAACGTGGTGAAAAGGGAGTGATGGGCAAGCGTAAGGGCGGTTGAAAGGAAGCTTGGCGTGTAAAAGTGCATGCACACTCTGTTCTCCTTGTGAGAGCAATCAACGGTAGCCGGGTAGCATGTTTGAGGTTCCATCATCCGGCCGCTCTGAAGCAATCCATTGAGTGGAAATCCTGCCATCCCAACAGCTGTCTAGAGGCGGGAAGTGCTGCCATTGTCGCCAGGAGCGGAGAGAGTCTTGGTGCTCCCAGACGAGTGGAGAACCAACCCCATCTTTTGCCAGGAGACATCAATCCAACCCCACGATAATCTAAGCTGCAGATGATATCACTTTGGACCCTCAACCAGATGGTTGACCTCCTGTTCGCAGCCATGCTGCACACACACGCAGTACAGGTCTCTTGGGTCATGCCATTGTGCATCATTGCCTGCAGCACGCGCACTCGATTCCGGAACGGGAAATAAATCGCCAGCAAAGGGTCTTTTCCAACGAATGATGCAATCTGGTCGTATTCAGACCCGAGGCACTGCGTTACCCTGTAATGAGCCAAAAGAGTGGCCAATCCTTCCATGAGGAAAATACAATAAACCAGGTTGTCTGTGCAACAAAGCACACTGTCTTGTTTTCACGGGAATTTGAGATCAAGCTCTCCAAGCGTAATAGCCACGCATTTCCACTTCCAGGGGGGTTCTGTGTGGGAATATTCCGAGTTTGTCATGACCCCATTTCCCCAAATTTCACATCCGACAAACGCAACAGGCTTACATATACAGCACCGCCTAGTCATGTAGTATGAGTATACCTACTCATCGAATTACCACCACCTCCCTATCCAAAAGGACCGCTAATGCACCCAGGATATCGACCCGAGGATGACATGACAGCATTTGTGGGAGATGAGCGACAACCGATACGCTACTGGGGCTATCCATCGTCCCTTGCTGCTTGGTGTCGTGTGCATCAAATGAGCGTTAGGCGGGCTCGGTCGCTGGAACATGCCGACTCGGGAGCTGGTCCCCCTTCCCAGCGGGCGCAAAAACGAGACTGGCGGACGAGGCCCTGAGGTAGGCAGAGCTATCAATTATTCATCTTACGGACCATTGCCTAAATAGCAATGCTTGGCATTGCCATTTAAGTACATGTTCTATTTTAACAAAACGGGAATGCCATGGGAGATACGGGCGCCATTGTCTGCGCGGCACACAGGCCAGACCTGAGGTCTTTGACATCGTCCACTCTCGCAATTCTACTACTCGTACGACTCATATGTGTATACTGCTAGTGATTGAATCACAGCCCTAACCAGGGGCATTCGAAACGGGCGTATGAACTGTTTCAGCCCTGGTTGATCATGGCCGGCTCCAGTCGTCAGATTCACCACTGCCGTGAGTGTACGGTAGGTGGACCAGTTCTTCTCCATACCAGTTTGCCAGTGTCTGTCCACAGGCGGCGACATGTGGTACCAGCTTGAATTTGTCTTATCCACCGAGAGCACGTCATTTCCAAAAGCGCGCGCACGGGCGATGACATTTATTTTCCCTCGTGTTGTCTTCCCAGCGGGCTGGTTCAATACAATACGATATATGTGTGTTCCCAGCACGGCGGTCACGGCCATGCGCCTTGCCGCGATGGCTGATTGGACGTTCCCAGTTGGGATCTGACGGCGGAGACTTTTTCAGTTCCATCTCACTGGTAACTTTTGGAGACCGGCGAGCCGCTGGACGAATGAGCAGTTGGATCTGCGCCTGTACGAGAGATGGGATGCGGATGGCATGCGCTAGAGCGCCGGCGGCGTCAAACGCCATACCCCGTGCTCACGCCCAAATTTCACCTTGGCCAACAGACAGGAGATGAAATGAATTGAGTGCGCGGCTGCTACTCACGCGACTCAGGGCTCAGGGACTTCTTTTTCCTTCTTCTTCTATGACGACTTTAGATTCAGCTTTGAATCATTGTGAAGGGGTCCCACTGTCCCATACAAGCTGGGCGTGGGTTTCTGTCGAGGGCGTACCAGGGCTTCGGGAGAAGGAGAAGAAAAAAGGGCCAAAGGGCACGTGGGTGGACAAAATGACGATTGGAATCTCCCTGATTCGGAGCCAGAGTTGAACCGTTATGGAAATTGCCAGAGCTAACAGGGCGTGGCCTACAGCTTGGACTGAAAGTAGTGGAGAGAGGGAGTGTGTTATTTTGCCCTACTGGACTAAGGAAGGGGACTAGCACCGCTACTGGCATGGTGCGAGAGCGATGGGCTTTTTGAGGCTATCTTGGAGTCACTGTTAGTGAGGGAGCCATTCTTAGCCGAAGATGGGCGGGTGATCGCCCAAAATAGCCACGGGCTTGGATAAGAAGGTATACGAGCAGGTATACGCGGAACTATGGTGGCTAACGGCTTGGCTGACCGCTGTGAAATGATGCGGCGGTCTTTCATGAAAGCCACTGATGGCTGAATGCCAATGTCTATTATACCATGCATGGCATGAGCATTCATGGAGTGCTGCGAATGCTGCAAGTATGGAAGCCGTCAATGCCCATTGTACACATCAGCTTTGCGTTGTTCCGATTCATCGAGTCCAAGCGCTAAACGGTGCCTTGCATTGGCTCGACTGACTCGAGCAGAGACGGTTCGCCAAGCCCAAATTAGAGCTGCTGCACTGACCAGCGTGTGAATGAAGTGAACCAGTGCCATCGTGTTTGAGACGAGTCTCGCCATTCGCTCTCAGCCGTCGACCCGGCTCTCGATCAGATGGATCATCAACTAACGCTGAGGCACGCCCCGAGGCCCGTTGCTGGGAAGTCGCATGATCAATGCAAGTACGCAAGTCTGTAAGTACTACTTTGCGGCTTTGAAAAAAAAAAAAAATAGGAAGCTTTTTTACAACTTTCAAGGCTGCATGACCATCGCCACAATCATCACCATTTCAGGAGGCGCTACTCCCACCATTTGATAGAGAATGCATGCCGAATAGTGTACGGTAGGATTTATCGCCTCCGCCTTTCCCTTTCAGAGCGCATCTTTAATTATGTGGTGTTATCTAGCAAAACTACAGGACGCCATCCCCAGAAAGACGCCCTCTCGCCTGTTGTTTCATGCAGCCTCTCCGAGTCAGGTCCCAGAACTAGGACCAAAACGAGATCGAACGAACCAGAAACCCTGCCTTCCCGACCCCCCTGGCCAGCCTTTTTCTCTTTTTCTCTCTCTTTCTCTCTCTTCCTGGTTTAAGGATGGTTGAGCTAAGCTATGATGGTTCTAGTTGGCCACTTATAGATTGAACTTGAGAGGCTAAGGAGAATAAAGACTAACGGCCTTTTCTACTTTGTGAGCAAAGACTTGTGTACACGCCCCCTTTTCTTTCTGCGAACTGGTTAGATCCACAGCAAGTTTTGAAAGGGTTCCCACCCTTTCTTCCGTTTTGAACGCTGCTGCGCGCTTTGCACCCAAACTGGGTGGGCTCACCTTTGAGGGCGACGACGATGGATGGACCCTCTCCCCTGAGTCAAAGGCTAAACCGCGACGACATGGCCGTCTTGAAAGATGAGGAAAATGAGACGTCAACAAGGAAAAAAAAACCGTTATGGAGCAAAATTGGAGCTGCTTCAGTTTTGAAATGAGTCGTTCTTCTTCTTGTTGTCGCACGTTTTTGACTAAGCAATGCTCATTCGACGAGAGAGTGTTTTAACGACGGGCCTTTGGGGCTGCTACTGATTCGATAGCGAGAAGAAAAAAATTGGTTGAAGCTATTGGCACTTAGGGCTGTCTCGGGCCTGCGGCTTAATAGCGACCGATGTCTTAAGAGTGACGACATCGTCACGATTTCGTTGCTTTTTTTTTTTCTTGCAGTGAACCACCCAAGTTTACTCCGCAGTAGCAGCGCGATCGCCCTTTGGAACGGAGCATGGCATCAAAACCGTCTAGTGCCATCAAATCCCATGAGCAGCGATAGTGGCTACAGGAAATAAATGGCAAAGCTGATCGTCTACCTATCATTTTACATATTCCAAATATCAGCCCTGCGTGCGCGCGCAACGGATCGCCTTGGTGGCTCTAGGCCTTGTTTTGCTGGGCCCCTCCCGACTTGTCTAAGATTTGCTGCTATTCTCGGCTCTGGAGACGGAAGAGAGAGCAAGGTCTAGACATTACGGAGAATGCTAACACTAATAATCATTTTTTTTTTCACGCCCACCGTTAAGAAGACCGTACAGGAATGGAAAAGTGTCTGAAACACGGCCTGATTGATTACTGGTGATGCCGTGCGCGGTACAATGGCAAGTATCGCTTGAGACGCTAGCTCCGCGTTATGAGCATGCTGGAATTACTACTGCTGAGCTAGGAAAGGCATCAAAATCTTTCTCGGTAAAGCTGCCAAACTACCACCAAAGTATTGTTTGCTGGGTGGGAGGGCGTCTGCGAGAGCTCGTTGGTCGGGGCTCAAATTGGGAGGGGAGCTGCTTCTGGCTGGATCATGGTGGTTTGCGCCTGGTGCCTTGCATGGCCGCTGTCAGAATCTCATTGGCTGGCCCAGCTGCAGGGCGAGATTGCCATGTGGTGAATCTTCGAGCGCTCTCTGGCCCCTCTCGCTCCTCTTTGGTTGGCTGGTTGGGGCTAGAACTGCTGCATCTCGCTGGAGCAGAGCACCAGGACGAACAAGGCAACATGGCAGTGAAGCCACCCGTCGTTGCTGGAGCTAATCTTCGCCTCAACTGCCAAGTCTTGGGCCTCCATCTTCTAAGAGCTCAAGCTCATTTACTAGGTATTTACACGCATGAATCTCAGCGGAGTATACGGACCATTTGATAAGGTGAAGAAGAAAAGATGGCTACTGGCTGTTGGGTCGCGGGATGCCCGGAAATGGCAAGACCCCTTGCTCACAGCCGAGTGATCCATCCAGGTCTTGAGCCTCCCTTGCAAACATGAGCGAAGCCACGTGCAGATGATGGCGAATCCACCATGGCATCATCAAGCACACGGGTGAGCTGCGACGGCGCAGCGGACGGGCCGGGACTCCTGAGTCGTGTCGGATATCGCTGCTCGAGGAAGCAATAAGTGCGTCTTGGCAGTTGGGAAAAGGAAGCATTCCTCGTACACAACGGCTGTATGATATGTGATAGCTTAACGGTTTGCTGCTAGTATTCCGTCTTTTCCATGCTCGGTGCTCCGGCAGTCACGACGCAAGGGAGAGAGCGGAAAAAAAAGGACAAGAGGGAGAAAGGATGGGGATGCCCAGCTCGAAAGGCGTGTTCCATCGGTCTGGACAGGAAACCCTCCCTTCCTCTGCCATGTCTCGTCCAAAAAGAGAGCGAGCGCGCTCGTTTTCCGCACGCTTCCGCTCTTTTCTACCAAGGCAACTCCGTCGCGCCTTGACTATTCTCGTATAGTAGGCCTATCTGGAGCCGAGCTGGGGTTAAACCATTCTCCCTGGACTCTCAGAGACACAAGAGGGGAGGGGGTCTTGGATGGTCGCCGTCGTGGCTTGAAGAGCCTAGAACTCGGATCGCCCTTGAGGTTGGTTCAGCTCCTGCTCTGCGCGCCTTTTTGGGCGAGTCGAGATTTGGAGAAACGAGTGCTAGGATTTTCGGGGGTGTTTGAGCTGCAAAAGCTGAGATTGTGATAGATCACAATATTTCCCCGCATTCCTGGCCGCGCCAGCCTCTCTCGCTCTCTCTCACTCGCGCCAATATGCTAGTCCTACTCTGTTAGGAGTCAGAAGAAGTATTGGCAGTGCTGCAGCAGGCTTCCATCCCCCTAGTCGTCTCGTCTGTACGGTCTGTGCATAGTCACCGACGATGGAGGCGCCTCTCGCAGCTGTGCACGGCTCGCAGCTTCGAGGGGCGTGGCCTTTGGATCTGGCGAAGGATGATGTTGTCTGGCTCTCTCTATCAGTCCCCCGGCTGGAGGCCAATACGACTCTAGATTCATACATGCCTACATGGCAGTTCGCCGCGATTGCTCCGCACCAGCCTGTGCTTTTCCTGGCCATCAGTTCTCGCCGCTGCACCCCGTATCACTTTGTTTTGTGTGGGTTTCCTGGTCCTCGGCTCGGAGTCCACGATGTTCTCATCTCACCTACATCATGTTTTAAGCTCCCCTTGCGGGCTTCTGCGTCTTCCAACACATGGCTTAGACATTATTGAGACTAGTGGACGGACACCGATAAATCGGGACAAAGCCAAGCCGAGGAAGAAGAAAAAAAGAGCAGCAGCTGGAACCAATGGAGGAAGACGCCCTTTGAGTGAACGGAAAGAAGAGAGAGACGTGCCTAGCGTCGTCGTTGACTAGGCGCCTCGGCACGATGGACGCTTTTGTGAAAGCCTGACGGACTAGGGACATGCTACTGTGTGGGAAAAGTCGTCTTACCAACACCGTTATTACTGCATGAAGCAGGTTCGTTGGATGAAAATTCCCCCTCAGGCAGAGAGCTTGCTTTGATTTCATACCAGAAGACAGTCCGAGGTGGGCTGGACTTTCAGGGTCCGCGGCCTTCGTGCCGTGCCTCCCGCAAAGTGTGCTAACCGACCCACCATTTCAGAACGGCGATTCATGATGCATCGTCACTGTTCGCCTTGGCTTTGTCTGTGAGTCTTGAGGTGAGTGCGGTGTCGATGTGCTGCTCGATATTAAAAAAAAAATGTTTTTCTCGTTTGTGGCCTGCATATCGCGTGTGGCTAGGCAGGCCGTGGGCGCTGATGGAGGGTAGCAATAGCCCTCACACCCTTCTAGTCACCATGTCCCATGTCCCCCTCTGCTCAGAAATCAATAATCTGTCTGTTGCTTCCTGGTGATGTGCATGAAATTGCCTCCCACCCTCGACGAGCAAGGGGCTCCCAAGTGCCGTTATTGGCTGAGCGGCAGACCGGGTGGTGGGCTTTATTTTTCTTTTCTTCTGGTGCTCAAGGTTGACATTGCCGGGAGAAAGAATACATTACATTATCGTATCGTCAAACCTGTCACGTCGCACAAGGGCTTGGTTTGCATGCTCGAGGCGAACTCATGCTATGAAACGGCGAAGCGAGCTGGACCGGGTTTCCATATATGGCGACGACCTGCACAAAGCTGCAAGTGCAAGTGCAGATAGGTACGTGTGTGCAGCAGCATTTCTTTACGTTAGTATTTGATAATTTCAACTGCTTGCTGTGGCAAAGGCCGCGTCAACAGACAAGGCTACAACTCTTGCCTGCTTGATTTCATCTTAGTTTGCCAAATCTACGAGGTTTTGGTGTAAGTGCCAGTAAGCACCGTTCTTTTCCTACAAGCACCCCGTATCTCTGTAATTGCAATCTCCCATCTCATACTGGGGTTTCGGAGGAGAACAGGTAGCTCCATGACTAGACATAATCCGGAGAGATTGATCTACGAGAGGCTGAGCGGCAATCTAGCAAGGGCTTCGTCTTTCCCACCCGTAATGATTGTAGATTTTGTTGCCGTACTTGTATAGCGGTCGATTTTAGCGCGTCGCGAAGACGACCAGACTCTCTGGCCAGTGGATCCCCTTGTTCCATTTCTCTTTCGCACAGAAGTCCAGATTCGGAGTGATGCCCCGAGAGCTGCATGAACTGCCGGGGTGCATGTTATTCAGCAAATCTGAGAGCGCTTGTCCTTTCCGAAAACGCGCATGGAGGGTGTGGAAATGCTGACAAGGCTTAATGAGAGATGAGAGAGAGAGAGCGATAGCAAGGGTCTGGCATGGCAGCCCAGGGGGGCCTTGACTGGCCATGGGGGGGGAGGCCAACTGAAGCGACCTGAAATAAGCCCCTGTCAAAAACTTGCTCTCGTACTGTAGGATTCTGTTGTTGGCTCTATCTTTTCCTATCTCTCTCCTACATGTAAGTAGACGGGTGGCCAAGGACTCATTCAGCCCGTCGTTTTTTCAGGCTTTGCTACGAGCCAGGTCCTAGATTCTAGCATGGCAAGGCACGCCAGATGGTCCAAGTGTCTTTTTTCGACTTTTTTCTTTTTTTACGAGGCATCGAATCGTACGACCTTGTTTGAGCTTGGTCCATGCCTACGTCCAATGGCATCTGAGAGCTGAGAGGAGAGCATGGGGAGGAGGAGATTCTCTACTACCGAGCAGACGATCTGCCTAGCTTCCAAGCTTCCAAGCACTAGTTCAATATTGGAACGACATTTGGGCTGTGACTATCTATCCGAGTGGACTAGATAGCGGATGCCTTATTGGGCCGGCGGACAGAGTATTGGCAAGTCTTTTTCATCTTGTAGCTGTCTCCACGTTGCCGTGGTCTTGATAGGCGGGCTGCAAACGAGCTGAGCAAGATGCCAAGGCTCCAAGACTTGTCGAAAGAGGCTGCTGTCAGAACCCGTCTGTTCGGCGACCACGACGGAACGATACACTCCCCTCCTCGCCTTGCGGTACACTAGCGCTCCTTTTTTTGAACAGATAGCACCACCCCTGAGATGAAAGCACGAAGGATCTGGGCGAATTATACATGCTATCGATGCTCATCGATATGTCACTAACACTAGATTGGGATTTTGGGGCTGAGAAGAAGCTTTAGGGGGGGTGAGTTGAGGGGACGAATAGGTGTTCCTGTTGCCTTGTATATGGAATGGCGCTATATACGATTGTGGGTTGGTGATGAGGATGGGCGAGAGATGTGAACGCTTTTGGACGAGGCGTTTGGAGATATTACGCCAGCACTAGCATTTGGTGATTCTCGTGGCGATGTCTTGTGCTTGGCAAGAGGGCTCGGGGGGCGTGGATGCAAATTACACGTATATCTGGCTTGTGATGGGCTGCCTCTACGATTGGGCCAGCAGATGGGGGGAGAGGTAAGCATGGTTTGAGCCTCAATAGAAGGAACGAATACTGCTAAGTCATGAACTATTGGATATTGAGAATATATTTGGTTATCATTCCGATGTTGATGTTGATGTTTTGTATATCTCACAGAAGCTGCCTTAGCGCCGATATAGAATACAGAGAGTTTCGTTTAAATAAGCATCTTTCTGGCACAGGAGCGGTTTCAAATGATCTCCCTCGGTTGACAACATCCTCTGCACAATGTACAGTCATTATTGACAGGAAAAAAAAAAGACAGAAAAAAATGAAGGATCGTGACGGCGTTGTCCGCGACTACTATTAGCGCCTGTATCTTATCACTTTTTTTTTTTTTTTTTTTGTTCTGAGACACGGGCTAACTGACTACTTGGGCATGAGCGCAGCACGGATTTGGGAAGTCCAAGGAATAAATCGTCCAACGACTAAAAACTAGCGACGGAGTTGTGCGAAGAAAAGGAAAGAGGTAGTAGTATCTGTAGTTGGCAGTGGTCGTTCTGAAGTTTTGGAGATCCCACGCCTCGAGAAATGAGCCTCAACTGGAGACCGCGTGCACCGGAGCCTGATTTGGACGTACTTTGCGAACACAGGGCTGAGTGGGCCGGCCTTGTGAGTTCATTGTTACAAAATCCTCCGGGCGCTGATATCAGATTTTTCTTTTTTTCATTGTCTTTTTTTTTTCTCCGCTTGAACCCAAGGCAGCGGTTAGGGCTGCTCCAACAACAACATCAGTAATCAAAGGGATGATACAGAAGAAGAAAAGAAATTTCCATGGCATCAGCAGAGCGCCCGCGCGGGTGATCATCAGCCACTCCGCTAAGGATGCGGTTCTTCCTTGGGAACTAACGTTTGATTAGTGGTCAGAACTGGACACCAGTCTGTTTTGCATTTAACCGTTTAGTCAGAGCACGATGTTACGATCAAATTTTGGAAAAATTAAAGAATGAATCTTGATGTAAATGTAACGATCTCGTATTAGCCTTGGAGAAAAAAAAAGGAGAGACGAGGAGACGTCTGTGTGTGTGCACTTTTGTAAAGAGGATGCCAAACAAGAAAATGGCACCGTAGCAGCCAGCATAAGAGCCGGGCGTCGAAAGCTAAAAGTGACAGTTGGGATATCGGCCCGTGAGCTCGTCTGATTTTTCCTTCTCTCGCAGTGTCATAGCTCATGGAAACTTACCAGCGCGGTGGTTTGGGCTTTTTTTGCGAGCGGTTAGTGGTTCCAACAGAATGGATCGTCGTTGGTGGAGAGGAGAGGGGAGGGGTGAGTGAAAATTGAAGCTGCTGGGAGCAAACATTGTTAGTTGGTTGGGCCGGGTTTGATGTGATTCCAGCACGATTGCCTGCTAGCTTGGACGGAACTGCCGCTTCTTCTCTCTCGTCACACACGCCCTCGTCTGTGTATGTACTTGATGTCTAATCGCACATGGCATCATCGCCCAGAATCCTCCATTCCATCGCCAGTCCCGTGTTCAAAGGCGCCTGCGGGCTTCCTCCCTTCCGGGACGCCAAACATGGCAGCTGGGCGAATGAACGCGTGTCCCGGCTGGGTGGATGGACGAGCATGGACGAGGATCCAATCACACGCCGGGGCCCGATGAGGCTATTCGGGACTGCGCCTGTCACGGTACCCTCCCAGTTGTGGGCGGCTTCTGCTTGTTAATTCAAATCAAGCGGGCTTTTCCAGCTGCCAGTAATGTTGCTCTTCTTCTTTGTTCTCTTCTCTCTAGTGCTACATGCACTCGCATCTATGATGTGCATGCATGTACCTAATTGTCTGTTGATGTCAGACGAGATGCCGAGGCGGGTTGCCAAAACTCATCCCGTGTCATACTCTGCCTAAATGCACGTATGGATTCGCAGCTCAAATGGACCTTTCAAAGGTAATCTACTGCTATTAATTACATGTACGGCTATTATACACACGCCCACACCTTGATGGGCGCAAAAGAAAGAAACAGAGAGAAAAGCGATGGATTGACTGGGTCCATCCAGCAAACGGTCCAGAATATCATCCTAAATCTCACCAGGCAGACGGGGATCGGCCCGCCCATTGGCTAGGCCGCGGTTCCATTCCAAGAGAACAGGACAAGTATCTACAAGTAATAGCCTACGGTACCACTCCATCGGGTACAAGGAACAGTCTGTAATTTCTTCTTCTCTATTCTCGCTCATCTGTCACTTATTAGTCTCGGCCTTTTTTTGTCCCCTTTCACAACTGACAATAGTACCTCTGTCTTGTGGCGCCGCTGCCCTGTTTCTAGAAGTCAGCGTCGGCGCCCGTAGAGTGTCTCAATTCCAGGATTCGCAGCGCCACCAAAAGCAAATCAATCATATGTATCTTTCGTGATTCCAGTCCCTCCCATTTTCTTACATGCAACGACGCTATTTCGGCTGACTGCCTGGTTTCCCTGCTGCATGACCATGGCCTTTGCGCCACCGAAATGACAAGCGGGATAAGAGGGAAAAGGTGGCTTGATCTGATTTCTCACCGAAGTCCCCCAATAAGGAGCTCGGCTCAGCCTTGCTGCTTCGCCGAAGGAGCACGCCTTTCTTGCATGTCCGTGCATGTATGTAATACTACTTACTAGGTAGTATTAACATGTATCTCTCCATTGTATGCACTCTAGACTGTAACCCTGATGGCCATTGGCCGTGCCTTGCAGGTAGGCGCCCGCCTTTCATGTCTCGGAAGTAGGCGAAGTTGTATCCCGGAGGAGCGGCTGGACAGCTGCGTTGGTTCCCCGACGGCGAGTCCTTTTGCTGTCATTGCAGCATGCAGATGCAGCGAGGGTGAAAACCACGGCAGGCTGGTACTTTTGGTCGCTATTGTTGGTGTTTGCTTGTGTGGAAATTGGACGCTGCATGCAAGCAGCCCTGCATGGGCCGTTGGTTGAACCTTGATGAGACTTGGCAAGACGAATTGGCGAGCGCGCACAGAGTGCCAAGAGCAAGTTTACATGTATGCAGAGCATTTGTTATCATCTTAAATGAAAGTAATTTAGTACCTAACTCTCAAATGCATCAAGTGGATGCAGTACCAATATACTTGCACAATCCGACTCTCTCTTGGCGTCTAGTAATGACCTCTAGGAATAAGTTTTCAGTCGCCAATCTATCTTGACAACCATCAGTATTTAATGTATGATAATGTGCTCTAGATCGATTGAGCTATAAGGATTGACGTGATAGGTGGTATTATATTTATTTTTCCCACAAAGCATCTTCCAACTTCATATTCCCTCCAATGTTACTTACCTGGAGAATGCCGAAGACTTGGAAATATACTCAAGAGAACCAAGACCTAGCCAGGAATTGACTTATCCAATTCCTGTGAAATAATCTCTGCTGGGCTCGGGAGGTCGCCAAATGTTGATGCGCGCCCATTTGAGGCGCAATCAGAACTGAGCGACAATATCCTGAGAATGGAAGGCATATCGAGCCGAGAAAGATCAATATCACCCAAACCAAGGGACGACAGTCCAGTGATTGGGGCCTGGTGCACGAGATCTTCGGAAGCAAAGTCGGTGTCGTTGATAAAAGTGGCTGGCCATATTTCTCCACGCTCTTCTTCAACGAAGATGTGACCAGTCCCAAGCAGCATAGACACAGCCTCTGGTTCCTGGGTTTCCGTCTAAGCAGTACATCTTGGACAAAGCTTTGAAATGATTAGTAGGGTGGATTGAAAGCAGTATAGGGAAGAAATAGGACCTAACGGGCTCCCGCTCTTTTGGTGTTATGCCTGAATTGGTCCGAGGGCTTGGTGAGTCCGCACAATTGACGAGTGCGTTGGCGGGAAGTGTGTTCTTGGCAAGTTATTCTAGAGTTTGCTGTATCGATACGCTGTTGACGGTCCTGGAACTGAAAGAACTTTTTCTGTTGGTACTATTGTATTGAACAGAAGAAATGGATGAGGCTGTATTGTAATAGCTTAAGAACTAAGATAGAGCACGAAGGTGCGAGAACAAATATATGAGTAAATACAGTGAAGCACTATTAGCTAAACGTCTTGACGTCGTTCCTTCCAACAACCGTCTAATTCTCAAGAGTAAGACACGCCATACATGGAGAACCAGTAGTGATGCTACTGGTGCTATTTTCAGTTTACTTAATAGTCTGCTTGCGTATTTCATCATATGGACTGACTGTCCTGTCGAGCTACAGTCGGAGTGTTGGGTAATGAATATGGAATTATGAACTACATTTGCTCCTAACATATCGATGAGAATCTTGCAATCGTGTATCCTGATTATGTGTAAGTGACAGCACTTATTGTTGGATGAGACAAAGAAACGTAGTCGTAGACTATGTAGACGTGAAGAACGAAACCAATGGTTGGCGTAGGCTAGGTTACATATTTTTACATGATTATGCCACCTAAGCGACCAACCCCTCGGGTGGTCCCTTCCAACACTTATCCCATGGTCTCTTATTATCTTCTTGTTTTCTGTCACTCGTCTCAACTAGAAGAGAAATGAGCTGAACATGAGAGAGTAACCCATCCAAAATCATGTACAGCTCGCAAAGGGCCCCTGCTGCCTCATTGACATATGCACCCCGATTTTCCTCATTCCAAGTTTTTGAAGAATTGCTTGTTGAGAGAGGGTCTTGGTGTTATTCTACCTCTGCGTGCTTGCATATAGAAATTACTTTGAGAGTTGGATGAGAAGAAGACATCTGTGTGATAATACCGACCGAATACTTCTAGGCACCAGATAAATCACTATAAGTCTAATTGATGAGCAGATATCTGACAAGGATTGTCAAAATAAACGCTGAACTTGAACATTGAGCAAAAGACGTTCGCGATATTAAGACGATGGACGACCCGGTTTTTTGGCCTTAGTGCAAGCTTAGTATATAGGTTAAAATAATTTGACAGCCAATCAGATGGCCCCTATACGTTCTTCTTTAATGAGCGAAGTCTGCTATTTTTGGATGTTCTTGGCTGAAAGATTAGAGGCATATGCTTCTGTTTTTTGAAGATGTAACTCATGGCGCTAGTCTCTCCTGGTCTGGCTTGTAATATTAAACGGAGCCGCTGCACCGTTTTCTTAGAGAAACGCTAATATCCGATTCTCGGGATCCAAAGCGCCAGGACTTAAATAAACATAGTTAAAATAAATAACACGCACTCCACTTGGCTAATGTAACCATGTAAACAGAGTATATAGCTTAATATAAGTACTTGAGTTTTTTAATCGCACTGTTTGCTATTGTATTTAATGTTGACTATGTTCAGAAGTATATTTACTTTTTAACTAAATTTCCTAGTCATCTTAAAACAATTTCAACAACATTACCTCAATATGTCTGCTCTTGCTGCACTTGCTGATGAGGAAGATTTCCTTTCTAATGTGCCTCATGAGATGGAAAGTGATTTAGGATGGTTACTAGACTTACCAGATGACCCTTTCAAAGACAGCCGTGATATTTTCGCACTTTATAACGGTACAGATTTTGAGGAAGCACACCCCACAGGGGGTAAAACAAACTATTATCGCGAAATGGTTTGGAGCAAGTGGCTGATGTGAGTTTTCCTCCTAGCAATGCAGTGTAACATCTAATAAGTTTAGTTTCTGCGAGAAATTAGCAATTGACAGTGAGACGGTCTTCGAAGACTTAAGCATGGATCAAGACTCCGCGAAAAATATTTGTTTCGCTTTCTTGCATAGCTATGTGGTAAACTCAAAAGTTCGACGACCCTGCTTAGGACCGGAAGAGTGGCATATGGTCCAAACAGTGACCTGTGCTGTGACTGTGGAAGACGTTTGGCAAGCCCTGGTGCAAAATGCAAACAGAAAAATTCTCCGACCTAAAACAAAGAAAGGAGGCCAAGATTCGCGCTCCTGGGAACTGAAATTTATCAGTCGATATGGCGGCGGGGGTGTCGGCCCTGCTTATGATGTCGCAAGAGTGAGTAAACTGCCTTCCGAAGTAAGATAAAGGCTAATTGGCCATGCAGAAAATACCAACACTTGCGTCGTCACTCAATTTATCTCTCAAACAGCTTGCTACTAAGAGACAAATGACAACAGAGGATGTACGCCTATTCCTTGATACTCTGTGGATGAGAGCTGAAGATATCCCTTGTACATCAAGTATACGTAACGCAGTTCACTGTGTAATCATGCTTGGTGCGTTCGGAGGTTGGCGGCCGGGAAGCCTTATGAACATCAGGTATCAAGACGTTGAATTTGGCTGGTTTTCTCATCCAAAACATCCAAATAAAGTATGGTCTGTTGTAACCATCAATATACATCACGTTAAGCAGAGAACGAATCAAGTCGAGAGGACCCAGCGATCAATGTTAATATGCCAAAAACCTCTTTGAAGTATGCTCACTAACACTCTGCTAGGCTACGATTTACGATATCAACGATGTCATGCCGCCAAATATGCTTGTTATCACATTTGGCCGCTAAAGCTATTGCAGATAATGCTTTTGAGTCGAATTTTGTATCGCCGGCCCAAATTTTAAGCGGCCGACCGCTTGAACCTGGCATTAGCTACGTTCCTTTAAGATGGAAGCCACATATGTTGAAGAAGTATATAGTGCCTATTTCATACAGCACATATAACAAAATTTGGCATAGAACTTTACTTGTCTCGGGGCTACGTGATGCACAGAGAGTGGTACCGTATGCTATGAGAGTCGGCACAGGTCGTCGGCTTGATAGTAAGTAAGATGTTAAATTCCACTTAGATCTCAACTAACTTCTTGAAGACAGTATAGAAGGCCCTTTAAGAAATTTTGTCTTGAATCATTCTACAAAAGTTTTTGAGCAAAGCTATTTGCCAATACATTTATCGGAAAATCTAGCTCATGCTTCTTTCGGAGAGCTTGCTGGTGAACAAAATCTATTCACAAATTCGATGAGCCGTGTGTTCCTAGGTCGAGATGAGAATGCTCCAATATATATTACTCAAGATGATCAGGCCAACTTTGAGAAAAGACGAGACATCAGCAGTCTTCGACAGCTCTACATTAAGTTTCCACATAAGGCAAACATCATAAACGCCCGGATGGAATCTTTATTACAACGCCTCACTATATTACAACTTGAAAAGTCACGACGCGAGTATTTTGAATATGCTGATAAGATGAGAGCGGAAGGCAAACAGGTAGAGTATCCAAAAAAGAAGTATTACAAATACGCTCGACCAGTCAGGAGTAATAGTGATTGGCAAATCGCTAGCAAAATTGGAATGTTATTGCGGCAAGACGATACTGAGCCTAATGTCGCAACACAGAAATTAATTGGCTATCTTACCAATAAACGCATCAAGGATACCTTCCCGGAAGCTGAGGGTTCGAATCGCGCCAAAAGAGACTATGCATGTCTTCTCTGCAGCAGCCGTTATTCGTCGAAGTTTAACCTAAACAGACATTTTCACCAGTGTCATCTGGAAGAACTCAGCGAAGGGTTTCCCTGTCCAGAATGTTTACGAGGCGGGATAATACATCGAGTGAATGCAGGACCGGAGGCATGGAGTAGTCATGTTGCAAGATTTCATGACAAAAGCAACGCCCCAAATATAATGTTACAATTCAAAAAGGAAGATGATACTTATATCAACAAAAGTTGCACAGGGAAAAGAAGCAGACCGACTTCCCTAACGAATTTGCACGAGCCATCCAAAAAGCCTCGCTATGATCCTGACCAGGAGCAAAAGATCCTTCATAAAGAGAAAGAGGAAATATCTTGTATCAAAGAGGAAGCTTTTAACTTTAGATGTCTTCTTGATGGAGAAGAAGAGGAAGCAGAAGAAAGCAGTACCCACGGCCCTCATGATGGAGAGGAGTTTTATGTGACGGGCAGGGACGATTTAGATGAATAGTGATACACAGCATTAAGAGGATATAGCTTATGACATAGGCATTGAAGAAATGAAGAAATGATAGGATAAAAAGTGGTCATTGTACTCTGGTTTGCGTATTTCATTTGTTTCATGTCTTCTACGTATCATAATATGACCTCTTTACAGAAATTTATTCCAGTCTGCAGATTTTCGACTCTGGCTCTTGAACCTCGATTTCTAAATCTTCAGTTCGAGTCCGTTTGCGACAACTGTCTCTATGAAGAGAGGAGCACATAGTTTGTTGATTCATGAGTAAAGTGCCCTCCCCTCCTAAGTGAGTGATGAAACGAAGGTGAGTATTGTTGTCACGAGATTCATCTCCAAGAGTGTTCTCGTTCTTTTGCGAGGCTTAGTAAATGATGTCAGCATGTATATATACTAGGTATAAAAAGATATACAGAAGCTTACATGGCAATTGAATATCAACAGGTATTTCCTCTTTACTGCTCGAACAAGTGCCTCCCTTGGCCTCCTGAAAATCTTCAAGGAACAGTCATAAATATGCCCGGCCATGCGAGTAATGCGGGCAATTACTTACATTCATGCATTGCCGCCACTAGAAGCGAGCCTTCCTTTTTGAGGACAGCGCCGAAGAAGACAATCCCACAGGCAGGTAAAAAGATACAATCAGTTTTAGAATTGCTGGCGGTATCATTGTCTGCTTCACCAATATTATCGCGCAAACTTTCAAGAACGTCGGTGTATGCATCATCGTTGTCGTTTTCAGAGATTGCTCCGCCGAGAGTGTTGCGTAGCTCTTCAACAGCATCGATATACACTTCTTCAGTGTCGTTGTAAGCTCCAGTTGGAGTATCGTTAGGTCCTTCAAGAACGTCGCTACCTACTTCGTCGGTATCGTCTTCATGAAATCTCAGTATTTTGAATCTCTCAACCAAGGCTTTCAGTTTGTTCGAAGCGAGGAGCTTACCTGATTGATTTCCATCGAGCATACTCTGGCCCGAATTCGGTTGACTTGAGTCAAGCCCTGCCTGACCATTACGCTCGTCTGGACAACCTGAATCACGAGTAGAATGATGCGTTACATCATGAAGACTAACAGATCCTTGAAATTTCTGCGTTCGTGCCTCTTCCCTTCCCATCTTCTCCTGATCCTCAAGCCAGTCAGCGGGTAAGGTAATCCTGTCCGGACGATAGGGGACATGACGCCCAGGATAACGATAATTCGGCATTGTGAGTGGTTTTGAAAGAGAGAAATGAGCAATGATCATATCACTTGTGTGTGAGGAGAAGACAGTAAAGGACTTTTCTTGTCGGAGGGAACGACGCTTTATGTACCTAATTGAAGACGCGGAACATCCTCCGCTCAGGAGCATGTGGGATTCCCCTGGCTGATTTAGCCTTGGACAAGCGAGTCTATCACATGAAGTACATCCTCAGTCTAGAACCTGTGGTCTGACTCATTGCAAACCAAAAATAGTATATTTGTTTGGCTAAAAGAGGGATGACCTCCTGCAGCAACCCACATCAAGCGAGGACAAATGAAAACTCGAATCCTGTCAAAGCTGGCGGTTAGAATTACAAATCAAGGACAAACAATAATGATAGCCTGTATGATGAAATGCATTCGCGCCAGGTCAAACATGGCTGGCCCCTCCTATGATCTAACAACACTGTTGGACATGACCTCAGGGGCGCATGGTCACGTCACCTTGTTCTTTTTCGATGCATTTGTTCCTTGACTATAGCTTAAGAACGCATATCCTTTGTCACTTTGTATTCTCAAGCATAATTTCAACTTGTACAAGAGTGTTATCAGTAAACCACATACTTGGTCCGACACTTTCTTCGCTTGTGTGAATGACTTTTCGCAAGATCATGAGTTCTCTTAGTCAAGTACTCAACGAAGCACGAAGATATTTGCCGCTATTGCCTCGCATAAACTCCTCTGAGTTGACCGGACACGAAGTGTGTGGCGTGATGTGATCCGAATCCGCCTTGGCGGTTACGCGGCCGTCTTTCCTAAGAAGGACTATGCCCGTGTGTCAAGGCGTAGCTAGCAGTTGAGCAAAAGTCCTTCCCAGGAAGGACTTTGCCAGTGCCAGCAGGGAAAAGGGGCGTGGCCCCAACTATGTGTTGGTTGTCAAGTGGAGGTCCTTCCTGGGAAGGACTTTGCGAGTGGAAGTAGCGAAGAGGGTGAGGCCTAAACCTTGTGTTGGTGGTCGGGCAGTGGAACATATTGTTGAAAAACCAGCTGTCAGACAAAAGTCCTTCCTAGGAAGGACTCTATCTATGGAAGCGGTACAGAGGGGATGGAGCGGCTAGGTAAAGCCGCAAAGACGATCTACATTACTTCATGAGACTGGCAGAGTATCACTTATGGAGTGCACGTAAGGAGGATGGCTCAGAGATGGCATTTTCTGTTGGGTATGAATTTATAGGAGAGGGATTTATTGAAAGATGCAGCAACCTGAATCGCCATGCAGCTAAGTATATGTCTCATGTACACTCCGTAGTATCCAGGATTGTAAGGAGGACAAGAAGGTGGGGTGGGGGAAAGGTTTGGCAAGATGATACATTACATACTTCTTATCCAATGAAATAGCTTCTCAAGCGGGCGTAGTCAACAGCGGCCAACAAGCACAAATGATGAAACTGAGAGTAGCGCTGAGAATGATATCCTAGAGGGGTCGGATGAGCGGAAGTCTTTCCAAGTGTGGAAGGAAGAGAGTCGAGAATACGTGAATCACCGCCGTAAGGATGCCCCTCGTGAAATATAAAACCCACCTCTCTCCCAGACTAAGAGCTCCCTTCTCTCGTCTATCAATACCACGCTCAGCTTGGATTGCAACTCTACCAAACCAAGAGCTCTCTTCTCTCATTTTTCAATACCACTCTCAGCTTGGATTGCGACTTGCTCTGTCACAATGTCTACCTCTCTTCCATATATGGATAATCATCATGTTTCTCAACACAAAATGACATTTGATGATTCCCCAGAGATGAGAAACGATCCACCACCAACCTATAAGAGCAGCTACGATTTTGGGGCAGAAGAACGTATTGCTGTTATAAACTCTTCATCACTTGGTCAACTCACCCAAAACCTCGTTGATACATTGGGCAGCATACTGGATGTCTCTTTCGGAAAAGAACAATTGATTGAAAGCCTTGAGACGACTTTGAGGCAGCAACCAGTAGCGAAACATAAACAGATATTTGACATCGCCCAAAGTATTGTTCATGCCTGCCACAATGTTTATGGACCAAAAGAAGATTCATCGACAATAAAGCACGGGGAAAAGCACCGACGGATCAAAGAAGAAGACTTTGACGCAAGTCAGACTGAGTCGGACACAGAAGATGCAGCATCAGAGATTTACCCTCAACGTCGTCAGAGTATGTCTGCGAAGGATCAGCTTGAGCTTCAAGAGAGCGCTCAAGGTTTAAAACTATCTCAAGCCAACTCTTCCAAGAAAGTACTTAGATCCAAAGCTACTTCGTCTAACACCAAGCCGTTGCCGACGCTACAGGGCAGAAATGCCAAGCGAGCTTCTACGCCTTTCGCTATGTCACAGAAGACATGCGATACAGCTTCTCGCGAAAGCTCAAGGCTTAGTTCTCCAGAGATTATGGATACGCCGCCTCGGATAGAAGACGCCCTCCAAAAGGAAACACCGAAAGATCCGAAGGACCCTGACTATGCATTGCATTCTTTAATCGATCAATCTACTCAAGACTTCATATATCACTCTCATCAGCAAATCATAGAGTTCTCTTCGTGTGAAGATTCATCACCAACTTACACGGTCCTTGTCAGATCTCTGTACGGCAAAGAAAGCGAGGGTGAATCAACGTGGTCAATGGGTTCGCAATGGCTTCATCTAGCGGAAGGGGCGCAAACAGACAGGAAGTATGGAGCGATCCTTTGCGCATTGGCTGCAATGGAGTTCCAAAAGTGGCATGAATCTCAAAAGCTGCAGCACAAAGATCTGCCGTCGCAAACAGCGTCTAAACGAGTAACCGACAGACTCGTCGGGTCCAAGCCAGCAGATCACTACGAAAAGAGGACCTGGATTCAACGACGGAGCAACATTGCCACCTTATTAACGCGCGGGAAAAAGTGGATTCAGCTAGTGGAACATCTTGGACTCGGAATACTATTTAAAGATGCCTGGTAAGTGTGCTCCATTATATACAACCAAAGTAACATGGCTAAAGGTAAACAGGAAATTAGCAAAAATTCCGAACATCAATCTACCCTTTCTAATCGAAAGACTGGAAAATGATCAAGCGAAAATGACTGTCTTGCACATCCTCTCTAAACAGATAAAATATCTAATCAAGGGCGGAAAGACAGAACAGAAAGTGTTTGAAGACGAGCTACGAAATGCCTCACTAAGTGTCAATTTTCCATTGCCCACCGATTGTATACCAAGCACCAGATTTATTGAGTTGGACAACCTTTATCAAGCAATTTCCGAATCAGTCACCAGTGGTCGACTAACCGTTCACAATTCACGACCGCCTTGTGACTTCGAAGTGGCCGCGCTTCAAAGGCTTAAGGGACAGACGTGGTTAAATGATAAGCTACTTGTTGCTTGCTTACACCTATCTGAAAAATTGCCGTTTGTGCGGATAGGGTGGTCTATCACCATTCATCAAGATATACGACCTAACACTCCAATGAAACAGCAATTTGAAAGAGCTTCGCAAAAAATACAAACGTGGAAGAAAGAAGCGAACTCACAACTTGTATACTTCTTTCCACTTTATCAGCATGGCAATCATTTTACCCTTCTTGAGATAAATGAGAAAGAAGGTTACATTTATCATTATGATTCTATGTCAGGAGACAGTACAGACGTCAAGGTACACTCTGACTGCGACGTATTTGTTATCACGGCTAACTCTGGATCAGAACGCTTGTGAACAGCAGTTCTCTCATTTACCGTTTAGAGAGAAAGTAAGTTTGTCTCACAATGTTTTGAGAGTCCATGATAGTTAATGTTCAAAGGAAGCGATACAGCAAAAGGACGGCGATAGCTGCGGCTTAATGGTAGTTAAACATGCCCAAAATCGCATGCTTGACCTACCTGCAAACTTTCATGCCGGAGCATCTATTGACTCTACGAGTTTGAGATGCGAAGTTATCAAATTGTTAGAAAAAGCGTGGAATGAAGGTGCTTTAGTCGAAGCTCAGATTGGTCTAAAAAGAAAACGGGGAGCAGAGGATGTGGATTTAGGGGGGATACAACGTAAGAGAGTTGTAAAAACTTCAAAGTATTGATATTTATATATTGAACTACTGGTATCTGCGGTATTACTTTTTGCAAGCAGCACCAATCGAAAGCATACATATACTGGCGGGGTTATGATGCGGTATATCCATGGGCTTTAGAAACGTCCATATATTGAATTGGCTGTTATTGTTAGACACAGGGACGTAATTTCGATTAATTAAAGAATAAGCGTTGTACACAATTAGTTGTAAATGTTGGCCACACGTGTATCATAGAGCAGACTAGAACTATATTAGATCTAAGATATGATATTCTCCTTGAAGCATGGTATATATTTGTCTCTCCCCCAAGCTGTTAGCTCCCTGACTCCCGCAATAACAGCGTAGGTTTTCATTAGGCTCTTGGTTTCTTCAAACATCCATCCCGTCCAGAGGGTTGTCTTTCCATCTTTATACGTAGAGAGCACCAAATGCCATCGATATCCGCTGATGAAAATTCCTGTCGTCTAGCTTCAAAGGCTTGCCCGTAGCCTTGGTGATGTAGGCTTTCACGAGCAATTCCAACCAAGGCTGTACTTCTACGGAAGCTGTGTCCACTAGTTCTTTCATCAGCGATTCTAGAATTGACCGCACAAAATGCTCATCGACCATAGGACTTGAAGCCTTTCTAAGAAGCTGCCGGAGTAGATTAGAAGCTGAGCCCTCGCTGTGCGCTAAAGATTGTCTATAGAACCTTCGAACGGTGCTTTCAAATGCGGAGTAGTCGGAGAAATCAAACGTCGAGATTGCGGAATCTAAAATGATACTGAATAAATCGTAGAGAAATACCCTCCGGACAGTCTTCGGATCCGATAATTGGACGAGGAGCGCGCCATTCAGTGACCGCACGAAGCCCTTGGCGAATTTGAACCTAATAACCAAGTTCGTGACTGTTTCGTCTATACTCTTTCTATACCAGTTTAGTCTCACTTTCCAACTGATATGCACACTGCGGTAGTTTATGGAATCATTGTCTTGCCCGCTGTGCCGACAGCCACCGATCTAGAATAAGAGTTGATATAAGTATATGTAAATATCAATTGATAGCCATTTATATGTATTATTAAATTGGGTTGCAATTCCTCTCAATTTGCGTTTTATATCTATTTAAAGATATAACTCCAAATTTTTGCAAACAAGCGAACTTCTCGATTAGTCTCATTTCCATAATGTATCCCTTCGCGGAGTTGTTCTAATTCTTCAAAGGAATATTCTCCATCTTCCGAAAAATCACAGAAATATCTCTCCTTGTCTTCTTCTTCTGGCTGTTCCGGCTCTTCACAACAATGACCTCCACCTGCCAAACAATCACGGGCATATTCGTTATCTCCTTCTTCTTTCGATTCTTCATTGCAACGTGTTTCACCTTCCAAAAGTGGACGGGAGGATTTCCTACGTTGCGACCGATTCATGATATATTTCCTATATCCTGTGCCTCCCGAACAATGAGCAGAATGCACATCATATACTTCTTTTTCCTTTATAATGTCGAGGTCTTGGTTGAAAGCATAGGTAGGAGGGTCTGCGTTAAACTCCATGCTTTGTCTTTGAGTCATAGGATATTACTTAGTATGTATCTTCTAACAAAACAATATAACCTTGGGGCATACCGGAATAGATAGTATTGTTTTATCTTGAGAATCTAAGTATCAAGAAAATCCAAGGGTGGCAATAAGAAAGGATGGCACTTCATATTGAAGGTAGTTGTGTGTCTTTATATACAATAGTACTGTAAATTAAACAGGGGTGTGCGAGATTAAAATGCAGTGGCCATTGATAACACCTGACCCTGGGAGATTTAAAAATCTTTCCAAACTCCTGGTAATATATCCACACCTGACAAAGCGTACATGAAACTCATAGCTTAACATGGCGTTACGTAAGAAACTCTCACGGGAATTCTGAGTGTCATCCCACCAAGACTTCTTGAGTATAAAAAGGCAGTGTAAATACATATACTCTCTATCAAAAGTAAGCATTATGTAACAATACTAGATAGTTGAACTTACCTTGTATAGTTAAGCACTCTGTCGGACGTAGACAGAAGTCTTGATTGTCGAATATACTCAAGCATAAAGACAATGCTATGATTGAGTTCAGGCGTGAAGGCTTTTGGATCTTCTTCCTTACAAATGGAAGACATTAAAAATTGACATCCACTTGAGGCAGAGAGTGCAATGTGCGAAATAGCAGATCGAGCCGTTATTTGATCTTCGTTTGCGGTTTGAATTAAGAATGCATATGAGCTTTCTCGCTCATTAATAGAGATCAGTGTATCTTTCTCATGTTGTAGCAGAGCTATAGTGTTGGAGCTTATATATGCTCTTGGGATTTCAAGGCAATGAATGCCCTTCAATATAAGCTCAAGATCCTCTTCTGTTAGAGCGAAAGCCCTGAGACTATTTAGCGGCGATTATCAAAAGGTCAAAGAAGGAAGTTACCTGAATAGTAATACGTATCCCCATTTCATCATATTCACGTATTCCTGAGGGAATTTGGATGCCTCTATTTCGGGAATCAGATATACAGCTTCCAAACGACTCATTCGAGCTCCTTTAGAATAGCCCTGGATTGAAGCTGCAGTTGCCTTGAGAAGATGGAATTGGAAACGGTCATCGAGAGATTCGGGAATCCAATCTGTAGGAATGTAACGAAGATCTTCCCTAGGATCCCAATCCGTGCTGTTGTATGATATTAAGCGGCTTCCAATGAACAACACATAGTCGAACATAGGATTTTCCGTCCCATTTTCATATGCCTGGTTCATTTGGTGTAGCTTTTCAACCGTAATGATAGGGAACATATTCAGCAATTCTTCAAATGCATTTACCATTCGTTCTCTTAGCTGAATAAGGCGCGGGTCTTGAGGACTCGGTCGATCAATTGTTATCGTTATTTCCATGGTTCCGGTTTTGGGAAGGAACAAGTTTTTTTGTTTTTGTAAAAGAAGGTTGCAGTTTTTCACACACAGTCAGGAAGGAGGACATCTTAAATATGTAGGGACCTACTGCTGTCTCTGTCATGTGCTCTCCTATTTGTTACGGAGATATCTAGACCACTTGCACTAACGTCCCTTATCATCTAACAAGGGGATGGGTTTCAATCTGTCTTAACTTTCGTCCTTTTCTCCGTCGCGCCGCGCGCGCTTCGACTGAGCCCTTTCGTTATCTGTGTCCTCGCCTCTCTTGCGTTTTGGTCGCAAGGTTAGCTGGGCCTTGTCCGCAGCCTGGACAGTACTCCCTGTGAGCCTGTTGTACTTGTTGCCGAATGCTTTTTTTAACATATCTTTTGCCGCTTTGACACGCGACTTCCAGTTATGGTAACGTGTGTTCCACCTTTCCAACGTCTTCGTCAAGCGGACTTCACCCTCGCGATCGCCGTTCCCAATCTTGAGATAAACGTATATTTCTTCAACGTGTCTTTGATGGGCAGCGGTCAGGGCTATCGTTATTTCCTCCTCTTTGGGGTCGTTTAGGAAGAGATTTAGCTCATCACACGCTTTACACTTAAGAGGGCATATTCGCGCTTCCGCCGGGCGAGCCCAGCCTTCTGGCTTTAAAGGCTTTACGCCCGCGGCCTCGGTAATGTAGGCATTCAAGAGCAATTGGCTCTGTACTTCTGAGGAGTCTGTATCATCTAATGAGAGCAGTTCTTTTATCAGCGACATTAGAATTCCGAGCGCTGTAGACTTATCGGGCCTGCAAGTGTTCTTTAAAACCTGCTGTAATAGTTTCAAAGCGGAGCCCTTGTCACGCGCTAAAGCTTCCTTATAAAAGATGTGAAGCATTCCGTGATTGTGGTACCAGTCGAAGTCAAACGTTGAGATTGCGGATTCTAGAATGACACTGAACAGGTCATTGAGAATTTCCTTCCTCCAGGCATCCTTCCAAAATGACAGGT